GGCAGAGATTTTTTTATGAATATGGAAATGATTTTGTCGATTTTTTATTTTATGTGTTTCACGTTGGTGTTCGCCAACTGTGTTCGCGATGTCCACCGTTCTTTAAAAACACTTTGAGTTAGATAACAATGAACAATCAATCAAAGTATTATCGACTAACCCTTTGAAGAAAGTATGACTTGTTGTGTTTTGACATAGGCACTTCAAGCCCATATATGGGTGTATTCCGTCTGCTTTAGTAATCAATAACATACAAACACTTACATTTGACACATCCATTGTGCAAGATAACAGTGATAAATCCAGTGACGTATTATCGGTTGATCCTTTGATCGATGTTTTTATGGTAACTCGACTGACCATTCCTTCCTGCCGCGCTGTCATGTGCATATCACATGATGTAATACTATCACCACATCCAACCTGGAATTTAAGCCGATCTTAGATAGAATCGCGTAGGCACGAACATGCTAAATGGGAACCTTTGTCAGTGGTGCTTCCACTAATTATACCGGTATTAAATTCAATAACTGAGCATGAAGTGAATGACAACTGCACTGGTGTAGGGGCATTAAACATGGATGACAACAAGGGAGTAGTTATTGTATCATATGCAACTTCTGTTCCTATAAAATAAGAATCGTTGCTGTTTTGAGTATGTGGACTTAACGTCATTGTTGCAAACATAATGCGTGCACGTATGTGTTATATACGAAAGTACATAATTTAGACTAACATATAGCCTCTGAAATGAACATATCGTACAGAAAAAACAGTTGTTCAGCTATCTTAATAAAAATATAATAAAAAGGGAGCCCAGTGATTCTCTTTATCCTGATACTGCAGTAGTCTAGACTTGCCAAACTTTATAGACTTGCATGGGCTGTAGTTGATATACTTGTATCAGGGTCTGTGAGACATACTAGTACATAATTGTACAAACACATTTACTTTAATGGTTTGTTTGTAATATGCCTTGACGAAATGAAGTTTGGCAGGGGATGAAGAAACCTGTTTCGTTCGTCACGTTCGTTTGCGGAGCATAACTCATATACCATTCACCATTTCCTTATGCAATTGTGTAGACACTTCAGGCATACACTGAACTGGTGGCTTGTGCTATTCGGGAATATTGCGTTTCCATGGCCAAAAGTTGGACTTCATACGACGGTATGGATCGTTTCCAGATCTTATCTCATCAAATGTTTCTCATATTTTGATATCAGGCAAGTGCTGAACTGGTTGGTTTTACTATTGAGGACCCGTGAAGATCGGGGGTAGAATAGATCTTCAGCAACCAATGTTTGCCTTAAAAGGCGACTATGCTTGTCGTAAGAGGCGACTAACGGGATCGGGTGGTCAGACTCGCTGACTTGGTTGATACATGTCATCGATCCCAATTGCATGGATCGATGCTCATGATATCGATCACTGAATTGTCTGATCCAGACTCGATTAATTACAGACCGCCGTCATATAGCTGGAATATTGCTGAGTGCGGCGTTAAACAACAAACCTAACCTAACGTTTACTATTGAGGCGTCTTTTTTAGACTTCGCGTTAACAAGTTGAACTAAGGTTTAAATGAGGGATTAGTCAACTCAGTTGTACTCACACATGTTTTGGGTCGAATGAGGTATATGACATACACTTTCTTTTATTTATACACATATTCTAAAGGGCGGTGGATATTGATGACCTTATCTTCTTGTTCAGTTTACACCCGATAGTCGATAGTATACAATTTCCATATGCAATGGCAAAATTGGACTCCATTTACAGCCTCAAATAAAAAAATGTTTATTTTTATCCCCCGGGATATAATGCGGGGGGGATATAGTCATTATCTTGGCCGACCGGCCGCCTGTCTGTCTATCCGCCCATCCGTATTTTGTTGCCGGAGCATAACTTGAAAACCGTGAAAGATTTTTCATCCAACCTTGATACGTTTACCAGGGGCTGAATTGGTGCCTGTTGCTTTTTTCCGGTTCATATCTCTACATCTTATATGTATTCTTTCATGACACTTTGCACACACAAAGTCCAGGTTGTCAAGTGGTTATTTACGGGTGTATGAATTTATATTTTTTTCCGTTTCCATTGCAACAGGTCTGACTTTGACTGTTCATAGTGTTTGTTTCGATTCCATTTCTAAAACTAATAGGTACTCTTTATTGAAACTGTGCACACACACCGACCAGGATGTTAACTGATGCCTTTTACTATTTAGGGATTTTTAGAAAATATATTTTCCTGTTTCCATGGTAACAAGTTTGACTTTGACCCTGTTCATATCGGTGTGCATCTGACATAGAAATACAAACGTACGAACCCCAGTTCCATTATCTTGTTTTGATAGCTCAAAACTATATGTACTCTTGTATACGGACAGATAGATTAGATAACAATTATCTCATCTATTTGGACTTTATGGAACAGTCAGATGGTTTGTTTTTTCGAATGTATGGGGATCGGGGGATAACTCATCTTCTGAGTGATTTATAGTGGAATGACATTAATACATGACATGATTAACTCTCAAGCTGTGAAACACAGAAGTGGAATCCAAATCATTCTCAGCCATTTTACCATCCACGAAATCCGAAATCGGAAGAAGCCTTCACTGCTGGGATACCCTGTTTTTATTAAACTATAACCATCAAGAATATTATTAAATAATAGCATACGTTTTGTTTGTTTGTTGTGGTTGAAGAAATTAAATAATATGCGGCTTTTGTAACATCGGAAGCTTCATAGATGACGGGTAACCAATCAGTGTTCCACGAGGCGTATTGAAGGTTTATTTCCGCTGTCTTTGCAGACGGTAGCCCAGTTTCTTGTCACGCACAGTTGCGTTGGTCAGCAATTCGACTCGATGAACCGAAGCGGGCCGGGTAAGACAGCCGGGAAGAAGCCGGAGCCTTTTGTCCATTTTATTTTTGCGCAAGCATATAAACCATGTGACAACGAATAGCATAACTAAATGTTTTATTCAGAAAACCCCGTCTGTATGGTGAGGTGAGGTGAAATTGGGTTTAACGTCGCGTCCAAGATTATTGCACTTATATAGCGACGTGCATGTACGTGTGTGTGTTTGTGTGGCTGCTTGTACTTGTCCGGACTGATGCCGATTTATAGTGCTAGCCCACTGAGATACCATGTCGCAGTTTAACATGAATACCCCACTCAGACACAGTATGCTGACTCCGAGCCGACCAGTCCTTGTTTTAGCCCCTTAATGCCGAGTGCCAGACAGGGTAACAACAAGTACCATCTTTTAACGTCTTTTGGTATGACGCGGCCGGGGATCAACCCCCGGACCTTCCGCTCTCCGGGCGGACGCTCTACCACTAGACCACAGGGGTGGTCTGTCTGTATGATATTTTATCAGGGAGGAATTCTTGTTGTTGTAAATATGAATATATCCCAGTTCCTAACACTTGCACGTCACTTTGCCACCTATTTACTGTACTTCATGTTGATGTTCAAAAACTAAGAAAAAGTAGATCTATAATAGTAAAAAAATGAAACGTAATAAACGTTATCCTTACATTTCTGAATAAAAAAAATGTTCATCCGATAATCATGTCTTTTTTCATGAGACGGTTATTCTTGTGATGTAAGACATACAAGGTGTCGATTGGAGCTGTACTTGTCAAAACATTGTTCATTGTGTTGCCTATGCGCCAAACAAATAACATTGATCAATATAGGGATATTAGAGGCTGAGATTTAGCTTACAAATCAATACAAGGCCATACAAAGATGCGGCATTGCGCTGTCGTCAACGTTAACGCAGTCTATGGAGTTGTGAGTGAGCGAGTTGGGTTAATTTGTCGGCGTTTTTAAAAATATTTTAGTTATACCATGGCATGTCAGCTTATTGTGGACGGAAAGCCCGAGATGAATACAATGGGAACAATGTGATTCCCATGTCTGCTGTTCCCGATCGTGATATAGGGGAACAGTAAAAATCTATTCATTCACACGTTGCTGACTTCAGACGTCTAAGGACGATCGACTTTTGGGCCATTCCAAACACCCATTACTTTGGCCGAAGAGGTAAGACCGAGGATTCAGAACCATTTACTGTGGTGTTTGCGGTCCTACAACACCTCCTGGGATCTTGGTGCCTTCTTCCCCTGTGTTTTGCGTAACTATATAAAGGACGATGACATAAACACATATCTTTTTCCGAAAGTAAAGCTTTTTTATTTTCTGAAATAATTTCTTCATTACATACTAACAAAAAATGAATTTTCGACATCTCGGTATTGATCACGCCAAGAGAACGCGCCATCATGGAAATCCGTTGTTAGAAGTAGATTATGAGCTTTAAAATGGTTCGCGGGATCCAGGTTAATTAGAAGCTGAGTTAGATGGGATCATGCATCTATTTCCAGCCGCTGTTCGAGGTGGCAATAAGCTTTCTCTATACATGCATAATAACTATGAAATACGAGGTGCATGTGAATAAGATCACAACGAATAAACAATAAATTAGTCTTAAACAAATTACCAAAAAGGTGCGTGAGTGAGTATTGTTTTACGCCGCGTTTAGCAATAATCCAGCAATATTACGGCGTGCGACACCAGCAATGAGCGTCAACCGTTGTATCCATGTGGGGAATCGAACCCAGGTCTTCGGTGTGAGCGCACGCGTTAACCACAAGGCTTTATTTGAGCCCGATTCGTAAGGCACGATGTTTGCATAATCGTCCACATTCGTGACCAACTCGTGTTATTCCGGGTCAAGCCGAACAGCGACTCGTGCCCCTCTCGTGGTCATTTTTGCGACCGGGTTCCGTCTTGGCGCAATCGGGCATACCTTAAACAATTGTCAACTCGTTGCCTAATGGTTCACATATATTTCCCCATATATAATATATATTTCAGATGCAATTTAAAGCGCATCGGGACACGCGGAATTATACATTATGATTGAACACATTTAACTGTGTCTTGGGTATATTTTTAGATGCAAGACATATGTAAAATCAAAAGTTATTTCTGAGGGATTCTTTGACGAAGAACTTGAAATCATACGCGCATTCTGATTGGTTTATCGTATTTTCGCACATAACATTCATCGATAGGGGGACGAGTCATCTTGCAGGCTACGGAAAGGGGCGAGTGGTGACGAATGAATCGTCCAATCGGATTATTGTAATGAGCGAGAGAAATCGTGCGCTCAGTTAGAGAAAGGAGAGGGAGAGACAGTAACATCACCTTCGAAAGGAAGCTATGTTTAGCCACCTCGTGTCATTCAAATCGGTCTTAAAACGAAAGTATCGTCACGAATGGTTCCAAGTCATTTATCGTATAGAATGAAGATAACAAAAATCCTGGATAACCGAGGATGAGCTAAACAAGGACGCGAAGAAATAACTCCGTGTTTCTAATTCCTTCCACGTGGTCGCATTTGATGTCTCCTCTCTCTCCGTCCTCGATGCCGCATCCACACATCCAACCACCAAGACTTGATGATCTCTGAAATGATATGCAGGAATGCGTAAATGCATGCATGTTCTTCCATTATCAGGCGGGACGGAAGGCCCCTGTGAGACGCCGAATTTCGCCTTGCATGGTCCGCCTTAATTCGACATCCCCACTTTGGGCTTTCCTCTAACATGAGGTGACTGCCTCCGTGGTCTAGTGGTAGAGCGTCCGCCCGGAGAGCGGAAGGTCCGCGGTTCGATCCCCGGCCGCGTCATACCAAACGACGTTAAAAGATGGTACTTGTTGTTACCCTGTCTGGCGCTTGGCATTAAGGGGTTAAAGCAAGGACTGGTCGGCTCGGAGTCAGTATACTGTGTCTGAGTGGGGTATTCATGTTAAACTGCGACATGGTATCTCAGTGGGCTAGCACTATAAATCGGCATCAGTCCGGTCTAGTACAAGCAGCCACACACACACACACGTGCATGCACGTCGCTATATAAGTGCAATAATCTTGGACGCGACGTTAAACCCAATTTCACCTCACCTCTAACATGAGGTGATGGGGTTAACGTCGCGACCAAGATTATTGCACTTATATAGCGTGTGTTTGTGTGGCTGCTTGTACTAGTCCGGGCGAATGCCGATTTATAGTGCTAGCTCACTGAGATACCATGCCGCAGTTTAAAATAAATACCCCACTCAGACGCAGTATACTGACTCCGAGCCGACCAATCCTTGTTTTAGCCCCTTCATGCCGAGCGCAAGACAGGGTAACAACAAGTACCATCTTTTAATGTCTTTTGGTATGACGCGGCCGGGGATACGGTCTCCTCCAACAATGAAGCGGATTCTATATAAAATACTGTTCAAATTGGAGATGGACATCAAACGTCAACACCTGAGAATAATATATATCCCTCGAAGCATGTTCCATTGGGTTTACAATGCCAAATACTGCAAATAATACAAGTAACACAAATATCCCGTTACAGTTGTAACACAAATATCCAATTGCAGTTGTAACGTAAATATCCAAAAACAGTTGTAATGTGAAGCCCATTTCTGGTATTGATATTAAGCCCTGATATTGCTGGAATATTGCTAACAGTGGCGTAAAACCATGCTCACTCACTCTCTCATTACAGTTGTGACACAAATACCCAATCACAGCTGTAACAGAAATACCCCATCACAGTTGTAACCTTAATAACCAATTCCAGTTGTAACCTAAATACTAGTATCCGATTACATTTGTAACCTAAATATCCCATTGCAGCTGTAACACAAATATCCCATTACAGTTGTAACACATATATCCCATCACAGTTGTAACACAAATACCCAATAACAGTTTTAACTCAAATACCCAATCACAGTTTTAACACAGATATCCCATTACAGTTGTAACACAAATACCCCATCACAGTTATATATTCAAAGATATACACCAATTGTGTGATCAAGATGTTCCTGTGGGGTCAGAACAGGCCCCCAACCCATGCAGTACCCGAAGTTGTGCAAAAATGAGAATCACAGATTCAACTACAGATGATGTCATCATTTACCAACGACATCGATCTTCGCTGAATCAATCGACGTCTGGTCTGCCTCGTCCAGACTCGATTATTTAAGGCCGCCGGGATATAGCTGGAATATTGCTAAATTCGACGTAAATCAACACTCAGTCACTTCTATGTGAGTCGCTATGCATACGATAGGGTCGATGTGATAAACACAATCACTAATATCAATGTTTTGCTAAAACTCACTTTTGGTACAATCAACCTTATTTGCATTCAGTGTGTAGCCATCGGGACATGCGCAGACGTTAGATCCGTTTGACCGAGGAAAGCAGAGGTGTGAACAGCCGCCATTGTTGTTAGTGCAGCCATTTGTAACTGGAACGTGAAATTGAACCATAATCAGAAAGGATCAAAACAACATTTAATGTCACGTCAATAATTGAAGTACACCCCTCAGTAAAAATACAACATTGCATTGAAAAGTATAATATAATTCAATTGGATATAATACGAAATCAATTATATTTTACGCTTAATTTGATATGCCTTTCATGATTTTATATCAAATTACCCCTGACATTTAAAGATAATTTCAGATATTATTTTTTATATTTAATATAATTTTTATATATACTATTCAATATGTTTTGTAGACAAACTGTTCGACGGAAATACCATTTTTAAAAGCACTCTTTCGAAAGACATGGATGTCAGAAAGGTAGCTAAAGGGAGGTAACTTTGTCATGGTGAATCCTGTTCCGTCCACGTTGACCCTCATCATTACGCTACTGAAATGAAAAAAAGGATTCACAAAAATGTATGGTACATCTTGAGATGTATATTGGTGTTGGCGGAGTTGATGTTTGTGTGATGCAATGATAGATATTAACTGGCGGTGTGGTGTATAATGGAGGGGTCACTCTCATTAAAATCAGATCTTAGTTCTCGCTATCGCTAAACAAAGATCTGAGGACATCATCCCATGAGAACTTAGATTTGATTTTAATGAGATTGATGGAGGGGTAAACTTATATATTTACCTGACATTAAGATGTATGATGGAGGGGTAAACTTATATATAACTACCAGACATTAAGGTGTATGGTTGAGAGGTAACATTATATATAACTACCTGACATTAAGGTGTATGGTTGAGAGGTAAAATTATATATAACTACCTGACATTAAGGTGTGTGATGGAGGGGTACAATTATATATAACTACCTGACATTAAGGTGTATGATGGGGGGATATAGTTATATATAACTACCTGACATTTAGGTGTATGGTTGAGAGGTAAAATTAGATATAACTACCTGACATTAAGGTGTATGGTTGAGAGGTAAAATTATATATAACTACCTGACATTAAGGTGTGTGATGGAGAGGTACAATTATATACAACTACCTGACATTAAGGTGTATGATGGAGTGGTAAAATTATATATAACTACCTGACATTAAGGTGTATGATTGGGGGATATAGTTATATATAACTACCTGACATTAAAGATGTATGTCGGAGGGGTAAAATTATATATAACTACCTGACATTAAGGTGTATGGATGAGAGGTAAAATTATATATAACTGCCTGACATTAAGGTGTGTATGATGAAGGGGTACAATTATACATAACTACCTGACATAAAGGTGTATGATGGAGGGGTACAATTATATATAACTACCTGACATTAAGGTGTATGATGGAGGGGTAAAATTATATATAACTACCTGACATTTAGGTGTATGATGAAGGGGTAGAATTATACATAACTACCTGGCATTAAGATGTGTATGATGAAGGGGTAGAATTATATATAACTACCTGACATTAAGGCGTGTATGATGAAGGGGTAGAATTATACATAACTACCTGACATTAAGGTGTGTATGATGAAGGGGTACAATTATATATAACTACCTGGCATTAAGATGTGTATGATGAAGGGGTACAATTATATATAACTACCTGGCATTAAGATGTGTATGATGAAGGGGTACAATTATATATAACTACCTGGCATTAAGATGTGTATGATGAAGGGGTAGAATTATATTTCTTACCTGACATTTAAGTGTGTATGATGGAGGGGTACAATTATATATAACTAACTGGCATTAAGGTGTACGATGGAGGGATAAAATAATATATAACTACCGGACATTAAGGTGTATGGTTGAGTGGTGAAGTTATATATAAATAAATACCTGATATTGGGTAACATGGCGGAGTAGAAGAGGAAGTCGTTGAAGACGGCGATGGCGGAGGGGTAGTTGCCCGTCGTCAGGAGAGTTGTTCTATTTCCTTTATCCAAGTCAATCATTTGTAAGGTCTTGGACTCGGTGTCACTCCAGTACAGCTTCCCGGCTGAATATAAAACGCGTGTGTAAAAGATTTATACGTGAATGCAAAGTAAGACCCGATCATTTAGAAGGTGTATACGTAATTTGGACATAAAATAATTTATGATTGAGTGTAAACACAGATATTTCTGTAGGATTTGGCAATTTTGGGACCTTGGCATTTGACCTTCTCATGGCTTTTGCAAAACGATTCCCCTGGGACATATGGAAAACGTCTACGTACAAAGTGCATGGTACATGTAGTTGAGCATGACCAACAACGGTCAGTCAGTCAAACCCTAAAAGCAGGTTCCATGGGCCTAGTTAAAATAAATAAGGAATTCCGGGTTAGAATTGGTCCACAGCAACCTGTGCTTGTCGCAAGAAACGATTTAATGGATCGTTTGGAGACTTAGTGACTTGATTGACTGCATGTCATCGCATCGCGCTCTCAGTATCAATCACAAGCCTTGATTTCCTGAGACAGAGAGCACGGGGGCTTCTTCTCACCATCTCTGTCCAGTGTTAGTCCCTCCGGCCATATTGAGCTGACCAACACCTTTCGGCCTGACCCGTCATAGTTGGCCCGCTCTATCTTGTTGCCCTCGCCCCAGTCTGTCCAGTACATTACACTGTTGAAGGAAAAGAAGCCAGTTTGAGAGTCAGAAGTATCGAGTCATCGAGACCGTTAGCATCACCATCTTGAGACATGCTTACCCGTGTATGGGGTCCACCTCAATATGTCTTGGCATGTAGGTAGCAGAATTGATTACAATCTTGTGATATTTTGTTACCATGGTTACCACACCGATGACGTCGTTTCCTTTGTCAGTGTAGAATATGAGTCTTGAGATAGGATCTATGGCTATACCATCCACAGAGGCAGCTGTAACGGCGCAAAACGACATGGCAAATTAATGTTTATCATGACAACAGTTAAGGAGCGACGCAGATACTCATTCACATATTGTCATTTACATGTTTTCATTTTTTTCAATTCCAGTTGAATAATAAGGACATCATTGATTTGGTGCATATATTAGTGAGTTATATACTGTGTATCGGAATCGCTGACATCACTCACCCCAGTTGAGCGTGACGTACGTCGTGCTCTTCTTGGGCCCAACACTGTGTATGGCAGGTCTGTATTTGTCAGCATAGAAGATGTGGTTCGTGACCGGGTCGTATCCAGATGAGGCCAGTCTCACGTTGTCGGGCAGAGATACAGGCTTGAGTCTGAAGTCGGACATGGTGACTGACCAGATGTGACCAGTGATGGGGTCAGTGAGAAGCATAAAGGCATCAGCAGGGGGAGCTGCAATGGTGAGAGGTCAGTAGATGTGACCAGTGATGGGATCAGATGATGATGAGAGTGAGTGAGTGAGTGAGTGAGTGAGTGAGTTGGGTTTAACGCCGCTTTTAACAGTATTCCAGTTATATCACGGCGTAACAGCTTACTGTGGGAGGAACGCCCGAATTGATTCAGGTCTCAGACGTTTAGCACTTCTGTGAAACCAACGAGCACGGGTATGGCTCTGACAAACCTAGAAACATAATCGGGCCGAACCGACATTCGCACCTACAATCTTAGGTTTCTGACGTACCCAAGGGACGCAACCCTGCACAGCGAATCACGGCGACTAAGACGACTCGGCCACCCGTGCCCCCCTATGAGGTGACCTTTATGAACGATATGGTATATGTAAAAGACAACTGTGGGTAACATAGGTGAAACGGAAGACTGTTGCACAAAGAGTTATTTTGATACATAAGAAAAATTATGGTAAGGCTCGTCTCTCATGCATGCATATTTATACAGGTTATATGATCTGGTGTTGATGCGCCGAATCTAATGTGTTTCATACCAATACATTCCGACTTGAAACTCGACCCCGTGTATTTGGTGTTGAAGGCAGTTGGACACGTGTCGCATTCTAAAGCTCCATTGTCCACCTGGTACCATCCTCGCTCACACTGGGAACATGTGCCGTTGTTGTAATACATGCCCGGGGCACAAGTAGCTGAAATATACAAAGCAGAGAACTTCCGTTAACACCGGTCCTGTCATCCAGAAATGTCCTACCGGACAAATACCACTGAGAACGTCAACATGGAGACTCTAACCATTGTATGCACGGATCTTACGCTAACGCCCGGGGCCCTGTTCCACAAAGCGATAGGAGCGCTAAGATGATCGTAACTCCCATACCTTAACATAGGCTTACGACAGTCGTAGCGCTACGATCGCTTTGAGGAACGGGACCCCTCAATATACCAATCTGTGATCTGAAAAATCAATTAGACAACTAATTTCAATATAAATATCTCCAAACGGAGAGTTCAAACATACACTGCTGTGTATACATCCTTCTTGAAGACAGTACTGGATAATAAGATTAATGCGATATGGATGTTCAGAATATCGGTTTTACGGACAATTGAATTTATATTGGTAAGAAGATCTGATGAAAGCCAGGAACACGTGGAAACATCTCATGGATCTACATGTCTTCATGAAAACAGCTCTATATTATAAATAGTGTGCGTGTGTGCGTGCGGTGCGGGTTGGGTGGTTAGGAACAGTGTGTTTGTGGGTGAGGTTCCTTCACACCAACAATACCCCAACACATACATATTTACACAAAATGTATATAGTACCTATACACTTGGTGATTCCTTCCATTAGGAATTTGTGTGTCCAAAATGTTAACACTCTACTCAAGACTAAAAGGCAAGATGTATTATACTTAGGCCTACCTCGTATCTACATCATCTTCATACTTAAATTAAATATGCGCCCCTGACAAAATAAAGGACAGTGATATACCCGTTTATAAAACATCAATGTTCATGATACTCTTTCATAGAATGGCTGTCGATTTCGAGTATAGTCATGGCAATAACTGACTGTGTCGCTCAAATACACAGACATATGAACATGAAGCATGATACACTCGAGTTTTAGCAAAAGCACTCTGGTGTCAATGCAAGTAAGAGTACATAAAATGTCTATTATCCGAGTTTAGTCAGCACATGTAACCATGGCACGCAGGAGGTTGTCAGAGGCACTCCGTTGGTTATTCATTGTCATGTATGACATAGGTATTGCATACAGAACAATTGGACGTCAACTTGGCTATGACCATAGTGTCATCAGCAAAACGTCCAACTTGGGTATGACCATACTGTCGCCAGCAAACTCGTAAGAAAACACCGACAGACACGACCAGGGCAAGCCCGTAAGACAACTGTACTGAAAGACAGGGCGACAACCCTTTGCCACGAGCAAAGCTCTGAAAGGAAAATGGCTGACCAACAGGCATCTGTCCACCAGAACTGTCAGAAACTAGCTAAAAACACTTAGGCTGAAACCATTAAGGGTCCAAACTTAGCCAAACATACTGAAACCCTATAATAGTCAATGAATAAAATCCAACTAGGAGCCAAAAGTACTCACTACAGTAGCCCTGGTCTGGGACTGATCCTACTGGACATGTTATGTCACTGTCCGCAATGGACGTTCCTGGCGTGACTGGACCATCTGTCAGCGTCACCAGGAAGCACTCCTTGTACATCTTCTCAAGGTCATTGTAACTTGCGTTCAAGGACGAGTAGGCTTGTGCTAGGTTCTGCCTTGTTACAATGGCTGAAAAGTAATAAATAAAGCCACCAACGACATACACAGACTCTCTTAACTGTAAAGGTCATTTTCAGTGTAAATTCAAGAAATATATCATTAATTACTTTCTGAACATCCAACACAGTTGCAAATCCAAGACGTCGAACAACGCGTCACATAAAGCAAGTGCAATTATTTAGCTTCGTTTTCTATTGGTTCTACAAAATCAAAAAGAAGCCTGATTTTATGATTGAGGGAATCTGATACTGCCTTACTCAATGGTAGTTTTGTTATATAACGGCGTTACAGCTTAAGTCAGATAAAAGCTCATATACTACTGCCAGTGAAGCTTATGCGTATGGTGCATTGATGTGGAATTACAGCCCTGCGAGACTGGACCACTAGTGACTCTATATGCATATATGATATTCACATTGTTCAGTAGGATCTGGGACAATAGGTGAGCTGTAATGAGGTTTAACGTGGCGTTCCCGATTACTGTCCTTGTTTTATCCCCTTAATGCCGAGAGCCAGGCAGAGCAACAGGTCTTTTGATGTCGTTTGGTATGACGCGACTCGGAATGGAACCATCAACCACCTGCTCTCCGAGCGGGCGCTCTATCCTCCAGACCACGAAGGCAGTTGGTACAATATGAGCCCGAATCTAAGTGTTTAATGTTTATGTAGTTTGATAACTCTCGTTACTCTAGAGGAGATTGGAGACCCGGAGTAAGTATCAGATGTACACATTAATATGGAGAAATAAGGACGAACTGTCATTTCCAAAATTGGAAACGTTCAGTAAGGAAAAAAAGCATCATACTAAACAAGTATGGATTTGGTGTAATCTTAATGCTGTAGATCTGTGATGCGATTCAGGGTTTAGGAATTCATTTGATGATCTAAAGTTCTATACAGTTTATATACACAGTCGACGGTTACCTACCACTCACGTTACTGACAACAACGATGCCCTCGAACCTCAGCTTCGCATTGTATCCTTCTGGAAACTGAGCACATCCCCCAGCCTCCCTCAGACACGTCTCCACGTCAACCACGACCGTACAGGCCGCGTTATGAACACAGGAAGTCCGGGACGCACAGACAGACGCCGTGTTTTGGATAATGGCGAGATCGGCAGCCATGTTGATTCCGACCCGTGTCTTGTAGGGGACGGTGTAGTTAAACGCCACGTTGTCGGGGATCTTGAATTCTGAAGCAGTTGCAAACATGGAAGTGTTTTCGGTTCAATCACACGTCACATGACAGAAAAGTCGGTCCTTACACCGTAAATGTTACAGAAAAGGTGTACCTACCGACACATGAAAGGGTCTTTTCGCCTGGAACCCATGTCTCTTCATAGCACGTATACACTGGCGGATCCTCTTGGAACACCAAACCACCAACACATGACACGGAACAGTTCATGGCCGCTTCCGACTTTCTGGAGCAGTTTACGCTGACGCCTTTGCCCAATGTCAACTGTGACGTCTTGCATTCTGAAAGTAATAGGACACGGGTCGTTGGCATGCCTGGTTAAACATCACGGAGCTCTGAATTGAAAATCTATTCTTCTTTGGTCTAAGGGGGATTAAGGGTTGGGGGCCCAAAGACATCAGGTTTTGACAGGTCGAAAAGTAAAAAAACAACAAGTTTTAATATGTATTGATATCCTAAAATTGTTAAGTTGGCATGGAGAACAAGTGGGAGCGGAAACAATAGGAATTCGTCCTAATTTGTTTTGTTTTGAGGTTTTTAAGATAAATTTTCAGCAGGTTTTAATTATTTGGTAATATATATATTTTATTTATACCGATAGCGATCGAAATGAGTTTTTTAAACATTTTATTTATTTCTGGTCGTCAGAATAACAACAAACCACTGCTTCTTATTAATTTTTCACATTTCAGTCATTTGGAGTGGGCGGTTTCGTATACCAAGTTTTAAAAAGTCTAAAAGCACGATGGTGTTGGGCACGGGTGGCCCAGTCGTCTAAGGCGCCGCGATTCGCTGTGCAGAGTTGCGTCCCTTGGTTACGCCAGAAACCTATGATTGGTAAACGTCTGAGACCTGAATCACTTCGGGCTTTCCTCCCACATTAAGCTGACACGCCGCGATATAACTGTCTGTTAAAAGCGGCGTTAAACCTAACTCACCCACTCACTGATGTCAACACGAAACAACTCATCCTTGTAGAGGTGTCCAATCTAGCTTGTCGCTTACATGACCAGGAACTGACACAACTGTGTCTTCAAGTGCTAATTGTTCATAGGAGGAATCATTTTGAAATTTGGCAATACAAGTTTATTTATCATGTAATTTTGTTGAAAATATGTTACCAAATGAGCTAGTCATAGTTTTGTTCTCTGTTTACTTTTAGAGTACCCGATAACTTATAAAACCAATAAAACAAATTCGTATGGTTCATAAAATAGGTGTGCGAGGTTTAAATATCATTGAACATCACCATGCATAATGAATATTATCATTACCTGGGCATTTGTTCTCATTACAAGTTGATGTTTCAACAGCATATCCTTCACATGGTTTTCCAAAGTCAGGCTCAGGGGCAGGAGCGTCACAATATCGTGACCTTGACATTTTACCCCCGCCACAGGTCACAGAGCAAAGGGACCATGGATTCCAAACACTCCATTTACCATGAACTGAAACAGTTGCAATACAAGTGTAGATTCATCACACACCTTACCTCATACCACCACTCCATGTATTGCCTATTGGTGTCTCAACGCAACACCCTTTGTAGTCTTACCTATTGGCATCGTACCGAGGCAAGAGTTAACTGACCATAAAAGTCCACTTTCCACCATTCCTAAAATAGGCTGGAATTATGGAATTATGAACAGTTCAATCAAAATCGCGGAACGAAAACCACATCCGGTTCGTAAACTGCCGGGCAGTTTTCGGTCGATTGCAGGATTTGCAAAACATGTGTACCGCCAACTCGGCTTCGACAGACCTTTTCCCAATCTTTTCGTGTTTTTTATCAAGGTGCTCAAGTGATTTGATCCGAAGTAAGACCCGTTTTAACACAATGTAGATTCTGATCATCTACCACATCATATTCACTGAGCGCCGCCATTTTGTTTGGATCAAATGCAAGTGATATGAGAGGTGGAATATTGTTATTAGGAAGGACCTAACTCGTAATAGCCATTTGTGGCCTAGAAACATTTAAAGTCAGTTTACTCCCTTGCCTCGGGAAGATGACCTATTGGTGTTTCACAATACTATCCCTTGTAGTCTTGCCTTTTGGTTTCTCAAGTTACTTACTGCCCCTTGTAGTCTATTTGTTGCTTACAAACCCGCCAATTTTAGTCTTACCTATTTGTAATTCGCAGTACCGCCCCATGTTGCCCTGCCCTTTGGTGTCTCACAATACCATCCCTTGTAGTCTTACCTGCTGGTGTCTTACAATATCATCCGTGGTAGTTTTACCTATTGGTGTCTCACCGCATGACCTCCCCTTTTAGTCTTGACAATTGGTTTCTCAAATTACTGCCCTTTGAAGTCCCATCTAATGATGTCTCACAGCACAGAACCTTGTACTTTTGCTATTGGTGGCTCACAATCCCGCCCATTCTAGTCTTACCTATTACTGTCTCACATTACCGCCCACAGTAGTCTTACATATTAGTATGTCGCCGCACTGCCCATCGTAGTTATGTCTTTCAGTACCGTCCCTTGTAGACTTACCTATTGGAGTCTCACAGTACCGCCCCTTGTAGCTATCCTTATTGGTGCCTCACAGTACCGTCCCTTGTAGTCTTGCCTATTGGTGCCTCACAGGACCACCCCTTGTAGTCTAACCTATTGGTGCCTCACAGTACCGTCCCTTGTAGTCTACCCTATTGGTGCCTCACAGTACCGTCCCTTGTAGTCTTACCTAGTTATGTCTCACAGTACCGCCCCTTGTAGTCTTACCTATTGGAGGCTCACAGTACCGTCCCTTGTAGTCTTACCTATTTATGCCTCACAGTGCCGCCCCTTGTAGTCTTATCTAGTTATGTCTCACAGTACCGCCCCTTGTAGTCTTACCTATTGGTGCCTCACAGTACCGTCCCTTGTAGACTTACCTATTGATGCCTCACAGTACCGTCCCTTGTAGTCTTACCTATTGATGCCTCACAGTACCGCCCCTTGTAGTCTTACCTATTGGTGCCTCACGGTACCGTCTCTTGTAGTCTTACCTATTGGTGCCTCACAGTACCGCCCCTTGTAGTCTTACCTATTGGAGTCTCACAGTACCGCCCCTTGTAGTCTAACTTATTGGTGCCTCACAGTACCGCCCCGTGTAGTCTTACCTATTGGTGCCTCACAGTACCGCCCCGTGTAGTCTTACCTATTGGAGTCTCACAGCACCGCCCCTTGTAGTCTTACCTAGTTATGTCTCACAGTACCGTCCCTTGTAGTCTTACCTATTGGTGCCTCACAGTACCGCCCCTTGTAGTCTTACCTATTGGTGCCTCACAGTACCGTCTCTTGTAGTCTTACCTATTGGTGCCTCACAGTACCGTCTCTTGTAGTCTTACCTATTGGTGCCTCACAGTACCGCCCCTTGTAGTCTAACTTATTGGAGTCTCACAGTACCGTCCCTTGTAGTCTTATCTAGTTATGTCTCACATTACCGCCCCTCGTAGTCTAACTTATTGGTGCCTCACAGTACCGCCCCTTGTAGTCTAACTTATTGGTGCCTCACAGTACCGCCCCTTGTAGTTTTACCTATTGGTGCCTCACAGTACCGCCCTTGTAGTCTTACCTATTGGAGTCTCACAGTACCGCCCCTTGTAGTTTTACCTATTGGTGCCTCACAGTACCGTCCCTTGTAGTCTTACCTATTGGTGCCTCACAGTACCGCCCCTTGTAGTCTTACCTATTGGAGTCTCACAGTACCGCCCCTTGTAGTCTTACCTATTGGTGCCTCACAGTACCGTCCCGTGTAGTCTTACCTATTGGTGCCTCACAGTACCGCCCCTTGTAGTCTTACCTATTGGAGCCTCACATTACCGCCCCTTGTAGTCTTATCTATTGGTGCCTCACAGTACCGTCTCTTGTAGTCTTACCTATTGGTGCCTCACAGTACCGCCCCTTGTAGTCTTACCTATTGGTGCCTCACAGTACCGCCCCTTGTAGTCTTACCTATTGGAGTCTCACAGTACCGTCCCTTGTAGTCTTATCTAGTTATGTCTCACAGACAGCCCCTTGTAGTCTAACTTATTGGTGCCTCACAGTACCGCCCCTTGTAGTTTTACCTATTGGTGCCTCACAGTAACGCCCCTTGTAGTCTTACCTATTGGAGTCTCACAGTACCGCCCCGTGTAGTTTTACCTATTGGTGCCTCACAGTACCGCCCCTTGTAGTCTTACCTATTGGAGTCTCACAGTACCGCCCCTTGTAGTCTTACCTATTGGTGCCTCACAGTACCGCCCCGTGTAGTCTTACCTATTGGTGCCTCACAGTACCGCCTCGTGTAGTCTTACCTATTGGTGCCTCACAGTACCGCCCCTTTTATTCTTACCTAGTTATGTCTCACAGTACCGCCCACTGTAGTCTTACCTATTGGAGTCTCACAGTACCGCCCCTTGTAGTCTTACCTATTGGTGCCTCACAGTACCGCCCCGTGTAGTCTTACCTATTGGTGCCTCACAGTACCGCCCCGTGTAGTCTTACCTATTGGTGCCTCACAGTACCGCCCCTTTTATTCTTACCTAGTTATGTCTCACAGTACCGCCCACTGTAGTCTTACCTATTGGTATTTCGCAGTATCGCCCCTTGTAGTCGTCAGTGCAGGTACAGGCTACCCCTCCCTTGATATTCTCACACATAGCGCCATGTTCACACTTGTTGTCCACGACACAGTAGTCCGGCGGTATCTCGCACGTCCGGCCAGAGAAGCCTCCTTTACACGTGCACTGGAAGCCATACTTGAATGATCGACAGTGGTGCTCGGGACAGGGGCTAGGTGAACACCAGTCGATCTCTGTCGGAAAATAAAAAATGGATTCGTGCGGTGGACTAACGACGTTTGAACTGACGGGCGTCAGTTTATCCCCGGTGAAACCAATGAGAATAAGCATGGGGCTGACAATGTTTCATGTTCAGCGGATCCTGACACAACGAAGGGGCGCAACGCTGTTATCATAACCAGTCATTGATATCATTGAAATTGCGACTTCCAGTTGTCATTTTGAGCGACAATCGATCCTGACTATCACTTACAGCTCGAAGCAATAAGACGATTGCTGTGGAGGGATTTACCGCACACTACATTTATCTCATCCAAGTTAACCATTATTTGGCAATCGATATTACTTTGGGTGCTGATCATATTGTGAAATGGGTACGCCATGGAAATACCCAGGTAAAATTATTGTAGGTCCCCAGTACCCATGCGTGAACGTGAACTGACTGACAAGGGGAATCGGTTCTCATGCAACCAACCACTGGCTTTTCCTGTCCTCTACCCAATTACTTGGCGGCCGTGATATAATTGCAATAATGTGTTCGTACGTGTTTCCAGAAGCTTCACAGGTGCACATCAACCACGTAAAACATGTTTCTAATTTTTCATGAACACGTCATAGCTCACCTGAACACGCCACATCGCACCTTAACATGACATAGCTCACCTGAACATATCATAGCTCACCTGAACAGACACTGGGTACCACCATGCTGATCTTCGACGGATCCGATGCCTTGATTTTGTTGATGAGAGAATCGAACCCAACATCTCCAGGTGAGCAGGACCTGGCCATGTGAGCTATAGTCCCCGAGACGTTGCTTCGCGGCATCACGTAGATCTCCCTCAAACTGAAATCTGTTAACAAAGTGTTCACGAACATCTCGATGTTACATTGTCCCGAAACAGGAGATTGACAGTATGGCAATTACATTTCTGGCAAGCTCTGTTTAATTTCAATCGTGCACTACAGAAGTAACTACATTGTAATACACATCGGTGTGTGAAAACTTAAACATCGCTATAAGCAATGTTCCATCCATATCACGGAGGAAATGGACTGCCCACATTGTACCTATGCAAGGAATCGCACCCATGTCTTCAGCGTGGCGAGCCAGCGCCTTTGCACATCCATCAAAAACAGTATTTGACACATGTTAACATTTACAATGATATTGTAATAATACGTTTCCTGGCCATCTTTAAAAGGCTAGGTACCGTCTCACATGCCTTTTAATAAACTGATAGCTAGCTAGAAAAGTTACGTCAATGAACGAGGTACACGTGTATCACCTGTGTCTTCCCCAACGTGGATAGAGAGCTCGGTGTCCTTCGGTACAAAGCACAGGGGGGATTTCTTTCCGTAATGCGCCACCCTGCTGCCAGCCCTGTAGATGTCCACGAAACTGGGATAGCCTTTCCACACTACCGCCATGTGTGTCCACAGGTCCTGGGGAACGTGGGTGGTCACTGGAACATGGCGTCTGAGAACACATAGGGCTATTCAATTATTTTGAAAGGTCGAATGTTACTTGAGACTGCATGGCGGAAGTTTTGACATAATAGTAAATGACGTTTAACACAACTACAACCGTCCAGACGGACTATTACGTCAGACTATCCTGTTTCAAAATCACCAGATGACAAGGTTGGACAAGGCGACTATGTCCTTGAGAGTTGGGTCCCTTCGGCGTCCCGGAATCTGATGATCATGGGTTAGAATCCCAGATTTTTGAAGGAAGAGATATGTTATGTATTTTAGTATACAAATAACATTTCTATTGCAGTATAAGTGGCGGTTATTGGTAGAGAAAGAGACGGAAAGATGAAGTAGAAGGTTGAGAGAGAAGAGTATTGTATACTAGTATATAACTATCCATCTTAGGCCAAATCAAAGCAGGACTTCTTGTTCTCATATGTATGTTCATTGTCTCTATGACTATATTTTTGTATATCCTTATAATAAGCATCTTATTATGTGTAACATTAACTCAAAACTAAAAAAAAATAGTTTAGCAGATTTACATGTATAATTTTATTATTTGATTATCAAGAGACGATGAATAAATAATGCATTTAGAAACAATTTTCCAAGAATATTTTAATATGGAAACTGACATATCTTCTAATAGAAAGTGCAAGCAAACAGAACGACCGAGACTCTATGTTTTACTGTATACGGGAGCACGGGCGGTCCAGTCGTGCGCCGCGATTCGCTGTGCAGAGTTGCGTCCCTTGGGCACGCTAGAAACCTATGATCGTGGGTTCGAATCCCGTTTCGCCAGGATTATGTTTCTAGGTTTGTCAGCACCATACCTCGTGGGTTTCACCGAAGTGGTAAACGTCTGAGACCTGCATCACTTCGGGCTTTTCTCCCACATTAAGCTGATACGCCGCGATATAACTAGAATACTGTTAAAAGTGGCGTTAAACCCAACTCACTCACTCACTCTACTATACACGTATTACCTACCCCCTCATCCTGATGCTTGTCTGCTGTGTCATTTCAAAGGTCATCTGGTGACCTCTAGTAGGGTGACTCAGCACAAGTGAAATGTTGGAATGTTTCTGTCTTTGTGGCAGAGTTCGGAACCAGAATGCAATGGATAACTCTTCCGCCCACTGCGCAAGAACAGGACCGAAGTTGAGTCGAACGGGACCCTTGACCAGCACATCAAACGCTGAAAGTTAATAGGAAAATGACTTTAACGTAGATTGAATAAAATAAAATATTTTGAAACATGATTTACACTTATTTGGTTCAACTTCAACAATCAATAAATAATCAGAGTGATCGCAGTATTTACATTGCTGGTACACGCTTCCTGTTCTGTACACAATAAATTATCACATGTTTTCGGTGCTTCCAGGATTTTAGAGGTTTTATCTTGAACTAATATATAATTGCATACCTTAAACCTTCAACCCAAATATGTACCCGTGAAAATCCGGTTTAGGTTATAGGTCTTCACCAACCCATGCTTGCCGTAACAGGCGACTATGTTTGTCGTGAGAGGCGACTAACGGGGTCGGCATAGTGGTTCATGTCATCGTATCCCAATTGCGTGGATCGATGCGCATGATATCAATCACTAGATTGTCTGGTTCACATAGCTTGAATATTGCTGAGTGCGGCGTAAAACAAGAAACAACAACAACAACAACAAACTTACGAACACAGTGGCTCAGGTTGGAACTCCCTGTTTCTAGAGTGGTCGTGTCCGAGGAACAAGGGGTACAGTTGTGACTATTTTGCTTCGGTTGGTATGTGCCAAATGGACAGGGGTCGCAGGGTGTTAGTCCACTTGGAGAAAAGTGGCCAGGATGACACATAGCTGTCAGGCAAGAATGGTAACTTCAATTTAATTTGAGACACTTTGTAACGAGATAGTACATGCTATGATGCCTTAAATCACAATTTAACAACATCTGACTATTGACAGAAACAATTATAACAGTAAATATTCAGATCATTTGCTCACAGAAATCGACATGAAATCTTCTGACAAACAGAGCGTTGGGCCTCGTTCGAGGAAGCGACCTGGGCGCTGAGGCGATCGCAACTCCCATGCTTCAATACAGACGTTCGACAGTCGTAGAGCTGCGATCGCTTTGTGGAACGAGGCCGTGATGATTAAAGAGTCCTCCTTAGACCCGCTTTCAGGTTCGAATCCCTACATGGGTACAATACGTTAATGCATATCCGGTGTCATAATTCAATTTAATTTTATTGGCGAATTAATTATTTGCAAACATACATAAAAGTTGTTCATTCATATCCTCCACGTACGTTTATATTTGTGAAAGAGTACGCCAGAACCTACGCTCGTGGGTCGAATCCCGGTTCGCCCCGATTATGTTTCTAGTTTTTTCGGCACCGTGGTCGTGGGTTTCACCAAAGTGGTAAACATCTGAGACCTGCATCACTTTGGGCTTTACTCCCCTATTAAGCTGACACGCCGTGACAGGAATAATGTTCAAAGCGGCGTTAAACACAACTCACTCACTCACTTGTGAAAGATTCCGTCCAGGAACATGTACACGTACACTCAACTGTTGGCTCGTAACCTGTCGTTCTATTGCAACGATTCGTATTTAATTTGGTAAGAGCTACCATGTCATGACGGCGAATTACCGATACAGTCCCGGTCAGTTTTACTTCCATTGTTCTTGGTACCGGTCATCTGACCACACGGAGTGCACTGTGTCTGACCACTGGTGTCGGAGTAGGTGTGGACCGGACACGCCTCACAGGTGTCCACTTCCTGGTTGTGGAACGTCCCACGTGGACAAGGAACTGTAACAATATTGAACACTTGGTCAACCTTCATATCTGATTCAAACATGTAAATATTTTCACAATTACCTCCAGTTTATGGCATCTATATTTCGCCATGACTTTGGTATATGTGAGCATACATGTACATGTTATTCAAATTCAATGGAGAGGCAAGTTTTACTTACAACATAGTTTCACCATCAAGGGCGTGGTTAGGTCATTTAAGATTTTTTAATGGTGGATATATTTTAGGAATTTATTGAATATTATGCGTTGCTTGTCAGCATGAGGAGAGATACTATCCCGTTCTGTGACCTTTAACATCTCCTTACTCACTGGCACTTAATATGTAATGCTTACAATTTTCGAGAAACCCTGGTGACATCACTGTTATTCTGTAATCCATTCATATAGTTATCAAAATTAGTTTGCCTTTTACACCCTCGGTAGATATTTCTCGGATGTTTACGTTTTGAACAAACCCGTTTTTTAAATAACAGCATTTTAACAATGTCAAGAAATACCTTGGAACATGCGGACAGGAAGATGACCTAATTCCGTCATAAATATGAACAATTTTGACGGGGATCGTTGGCATTTTCAATTCCGTATGCAGACTGATTGGTAGCTTCATAAATAACTCCAAAGTGAAAATGAAATAAAACAATCGGCATTAGGTGAAGGTTGAAACCGCTGTCGACAATATTATTATATCAAGTCAGACAAACCAGTGCTTGGCAGTATGAGAAAAGCCAGTGACATGAAAGCTGGTTGCTGAAAATATGATACATCGCCGCCGGAGCCCGGTGACAAACTCCCACTCGGATCACACTTTGTCAGCATTAGATTACAATAAGAGGTCTTCAGGACGATCACAGACTACTTTGAACAGATCCTGTGATCCGGGATTCCAATGAGGTAAGAGTGAATAAGAAATCAATAATCATCGGGAAATTTAAATTAAAAAAAAAGTCATTATGATGAACACCATATCTCCGTCGGGAGAGCATGAGGTAGAATTGCATACTATACCACAGAGAGACCTTGACACGTTGGCCACCACCTTCCCAGGCCCACACGCTACAGTAAGATTTCCAAGACTTGCAATTCTGAAGTTTCCTTCTCTCGTGCCGTTAAGGGACAGGCGGGTGGAGTTGAGGACGATGCCGACGAAGTCTGTCACATTTTCCCTGTACAGTAATCTGAAACATATAATACACACTGAGTAAGTGGTGTTCGTGGCTGACATATTGCTCATCACAGTACTGGAAAGTAATAATATGCGTTCATCAAGAGATATTGATGGATATCATTTGCCACCAGCTCCGCGCATTGGACAAAACAACAGTGGTGAAGGAATGATCCGTCTCCTGCTACTTTACCAGATGTTCGTCTGTGAGCATCCTGTGCCGCAACATGATACAAAGCTCGGGCGCTTTTTGGATATATCACTGCGTATAAATAGTTTTCTAGATAAGTAATTTTGTTCTCAGTCTCAACATTTGGAGACGGCAAAGCGACATAATGATCACAACAGATTCGCTTTAGTAGTCCTTTATTTTGCTAACGTACCTAACGTTGTCGGGTATCGATCAGTAAAAAAACATCCTTCCTGAACTCAACCAAACAGTTACCTATATGCGAGTTGCTAGAGATCCACCACAAGACTCACGAAGACTGCTTATACCTGGAATATTTTTTTAAGCGGCGTTAAACCCAAACCCATCCACCCACCAAACTCACACACTCACTCACTCACTCACTCACTCTATCACTCACTCACTCACTCACTCACTCACTCACTCACTCACTCACTCACCCACTCACTCACTCACTCACTCACTCTACCTGGATCTGTTCTTGAAGGTCCAGTCGAAGCTCACATCGATGCGGGAAGATGGTTTCCTTTTTTTCAGCACCCGAACAGCGCCAGAACCTTCTCCAGAAGAGTTTCCGAGTCCGTCATCCGTATCAGGCGCCGACGTTGTTTTCCAAATACGTGGCGGGGAAGAGATGCCGCCAACATCTCTACGTCTCCTGTTAAGCACCAAACCAGAATCATTGCTTTCTGCCGAATCTTCAACCAGGTCGAGGTCAAGGACATCATCATTTTCATATTCATATTCGTATTCCTGTTCATATTCATATTCGTATTCGTAGTCGTTTTTGGTGAAATGTGCATCTTCATCTATGGCAGCACATTTCACGTCCACGTTGTCGACAATGCATTCACCATCGTCACATTTGAGGAGTGCTGCCTCTTCAATGGTCTGCAGAAACCTCTCGCTGATACCGAGCCTTCTTTCATTGTCAGAGCAGTTTCCGCCAAAGTAGAAGAGTTGGAACGGAAGCTTATTGGCGTCCGGAAATACCAATACTGAAAACACAATAAACACAAACGAATGTTTAGAGAACATCTTTCAAGCGACGAGGAATAACGATGAGGTGAAATGGGGTTTAACGTCATGTTCAAGATTATTACACTTATATAGCAACGTGAATGCACGTGTGTGTGTGTGTGTGTGTGTGTGTGTGTGTGTGTGTGTGTGTGTGTGTGTGTGTGTGTGTGTGTGTGTGTGTGTGTGTGTGTGTGTGTGTGTGTGTGTTGTGTATGTGTGTGTGTGTGCGCGCGCGTGTGGCTGTTTTCACTAGTGCGGACTTATGACCCCATACAGCGTTATAGTACATGCTCACTGAGATACTATGCCGCAGTTTAACATGAATACCCCACTCTGACGGCAAACTGGCGGCGAGCCGTTCAATCCACATTTAATTCCCTTGATTCCGAACACCAGGCCCGATACAAACAAGTATCATATTTCAACTTCTTCCTCAATTTCCTCGTCAGTTTTCGTACTCAAGTTTTCTAAATGTTTGTTTTTAAAACAGCAGGTTATCACGATCTACTAGGAAGTATGGTCTCCTCCGTGTTAATGGCTGGTGCAAGCCCTGAACCTAAGGCTCGGGTCCAAAAACATTCTAAAAAATACGAGAAAATAGAGGTTTTTCCAACTGTTCCTCATTCGTATTTTAAGAAGCATATATGAAATGTCCAAATTACGAAGTTCACTGTTTTCAACCTTTTTTTCTGCTTTCGTAAAGTTATCAATTATGATCAATCGCTAATACCGTGTCCCATACCCGGGCCTTGACACCATATTACTTCAACTTACCAATCAACTTAGACAATCGCTTTTGTATTGGACAGCTTCTGTCCTCGATCTTTTAACCCTTGTGGACTACGTTGTGTTACGCCTCAGTTTGTTGTATTCTAGCAATGTAACGAGGGTCTGTATAGACCAGGCACCGAGCCACCGTGGGGGCACCAGGAAACAAGACGAAGTCACGCGTTGTAATCACTCCATCCTCATTAACCGGCTCTTGTGACAGCAGTCACTGGGGACATATTCGTCCCCAAAATCTCCATGGATTAGTTATCAATGACAAACTTACAAGAATGAGTGAGTAAGTATGGTTTTAAGCCGCTTTTAGCAATATTCTAGCAATTCCAGCGGGGGACACCAAAAATGGGCTTCACACAATGTACCCATGTCGGGAATCGAACCCGGGTCTTCGGCGTGATGAGCGAACGCTTTAATTACTAGGCTACCCGACCGCCCCAAAACTTACAAGAACAGTCGGGAACCTGGGTCACAGGCATCCAGTCTCCATTTAGTCCACATTTGAAGTTAGTGTGACCTCCGCTGTGGGCAGGAATGTCATTACCGGTGTGACATTGCACCTGGCATACTTCTCCTGCGAAGATCTTGTCACATGCAAGGGATCCATTACTTGGCGGGGTCAGATCGGGGCAAGCTTGCTCTGAAAGTGTAAATGGGGAAGTGAGTTTCACGACTTCTTGGGACTGGTTTATTGCTCGTGTTAAAAAACTAAATCGGGGTAAGGGGTGTTGAGGAATCGGAGGTTTGTGGTGGTTTTGGCAATACAGGCGATGACCAACGTAGTTATTTAACGATCCAATTTAGTTATGCTCATGTGAGCCATCCTGAATATTTACCGATTACTGAACTCGACCATTATGTATAACTTGAATGATTTATGCAAAGATGATTGTGCAACCCAACGGAAAAGTTTTGTTTTTTTAAAATATATTGCATGATAACCATTTGACAACAATGATATTGTTTTCGGCCAGATGTGTGCACAACAGGCCACCTGTCTACACAAAAGGCAGCGCGTTTATTATCTATGTCACCTTTGTACACAAGTCACCTGTGTACTTATCAAGCAACATAGTAAGACGGTCATCTACCTGTGTAAACATCCATACGTGTACAGAACACGCCACCTGTGCACCCAAAACGTATGTACAGCAAGGCACCGGACTAGACGTCGAGACACATGTGTACACACCAAGTTACCCGGGTACACAACAAAACACCTGGGTACGTAACAATCCACCTGGGTACACACCAAGCTACCTGTTTATACAGAGCCACCTCGGTACACACCAAGTCACCCGTGTACACACAAAGTAACCTGGGTACAAACCAAGTCACTTGGTACACACCAAGTCACCTGGGTACAAACCAAGTCACTTGGTACACAACAAGTCACCTGGGTACACACCAAGTCACCTGGGTACAAACCAAGTCACCCGTGTACACAACAAGTCGCCTGGGTACACAACAAGCCACAACGGTACACAACAAGTCACCTGGGTACACACCAAGTCATCTGGGTACACACCAAGTCACTTGGCAACACATCATGCCACTTGGGTACACAACAAGCCACAACGGTACACAACAAGTCACCTGGGTACACACCAAGTCACCTGGGTACACACCAAGTCACTTGGCAACACATCATGCCACCTGGGTACACAACAAGCCACCGGGGGACACATCAGGTAACCTGGGTTCACACCAAGCTAACTTTATACACACAAAGTCACCTGTGTACACATCATGTCACTTGTGTACCCACCAAGTCACCTGGGTACACATCAAGCCACCTGTGAACACACCAAGTCACCTGTGTACACACCAAGTCACATGTGTTCACACCAAGTCAACTGGGTACACACCAAACCACCTGTGAACACACCAGGTCACATGACTACAAAAAAAGGCACCTGTGTACACAACAATCCACCTGGTTACACAACAAGTCACCTGGTTACACAACAAGCCACCTGGGTACACAACAAGTCACCCGTGTACAGACCAAGTCACCTGTGTACACACCAAGTCACCTGGGTACACAACCAGCCACATGTGTACACAACAAGCAACCTGGGTACACACCAAGCCATCTGGGTACACAACAAGCCACCTGTGTACACAGCAAGTCACCTGGGTACACACCAAGCCACCTGGGTACACAACAAGCAACCTGGGTACACACCGAGCCACCTGGGTAGACACCAAGTCACCTGGGTAGACAACAAGCCACATGTGTACACATCAAGCAACCTGGGTACACACCAAGCCACCTGGGTACACAGCAAGTCTCCCGTGTACACAGCAAGTCACCTGTGTACATACCAAGTCACTTGGCAACACATCATGCCACCTGGTTACACAACAAGCCACAACGGTACACACCAAGTCACCTGGGTACACAACAACCACCGAGGTACACATCAGGTCACCTGGGTTCACACCAAGCAAACTTTGTACACACCAAGCCACCTGTGAACACACCAGGTCACCTGTGTACCCACCAACTCACATGTGTTCACACCAAGTCACCTGGGTACACAGCAAGCCACCTGTGAAGTGTGTACACACCAAGCCACCAGTGTACACACCAAGTCACATGTGTTCACACCAAGTCACCTGGGTACACAGCAAGCCACCTGTGAACACACCAGGTCACATGGCTACACAACAGGTCACCTGTGTACACAAGAATCCACCTGGGTACACATCAAGCTACCCGTGTACACAGAACCATATGGGTACACATAAAGTCACCTGTGTACACACCAAGCCACCTGTGAACACACCAGGCCACCTGTGTACCCACCAACTCACATGTGTTCACACCAAGTCACCTGGGTACACAGCAAGCCACCTGTGAAGTGTGTACACACCAAGTCACCAGTGTACACACCAAGTCACATGTGTTCACACCAATCCACCTGGGTACACAAGAAGCCACCTGGGTACACAACAAGTCATCTGGTTACACAACACGCCACATGGGTACACAAAAAGTCACCTGTGTATATAACAAGTCACCTAGTTACACAACAAGCCACCTGTGTAATACCAAGCCACCTGTGTACACAACAATCCACCTGGGTACATACCAAGCCACCTGGGTACGCTCCAGCACACCTGGGTACTCAACAAGTCACCTGTGTACACAACAAGCCACCTGTGTACACAACAAGCCACCTGAGTACACAACAAGCTACCTGGTTACACAACAAGCCACCTGGGTACACAAAAAGTCACCTGTGCACTGTGTACACACCAAGTCGGCTGTGTACACACCAAGTCACCTGTGTACATACCAAGCCACCTGGGTACACACCAAGTCACCCGTGTACATACCAAGCCACCTGTGTACATGCAAAGCCACCTGGGTACACCAGAAGCCACCTGTGTACACAAGAAGCCACCTGTGTACACAACATGTCACCTGTGTACACAATAAGTCACCCGTGTACATACTCAGCCACCTGTGTACATACCAAGCCACCTGGGTACACAACGAGCCACCTGTGTACACAACAAGCCACCTGGGTACACAACAAGTCACCTGTGTACACACCAAGCCACCTGTGTACACCACAAGCCACTTGTGTACACAACAAGCCACCTGGGTACACAACAAGCAACATGAGTACACAACAAGCCACCTGGGTACACAACAAGCCACCTGGGTACACAACAAGCCACCTGGGTACACAACAAGCCACCTGGGTACACAACAAGCCACCTGGGTACACAAAAAGTCACCTGTGCACTGTGTACACACCAAGTCACCCGTGTACATACCAAGTCACCTGTGTACACATAAAGCAACCTGTGTCTTTACCAAGTCACATGTGTACACAAAAAGGCACCTGTGTATATAACAAGTTACCTGTGTTCACAACAAGCCACCTGGGTACACAACAAGCCATCTGGGTACACAACAAGTCACCTGTGTACTGTGTACACACCAAGTCACCTGTGTACACAACAAGCCACCTGTGTAGTGTGTACACAACAAGCCACCTGTGTAGTGTGCACACACCAGGTCTCCCGTGTACATACCAAGTAACCTGTGTACACTTTAAGCCACCTGTGTCTTTACAAAGTCACCTGTGTAGACACCAAGTCACCAGGGTAAACAACAAGTCACCTCTGTACACAACAAGTCACCTGTGTACACACCAATTCACCAGGGCACATAACAAGTCACCTGGGTACACAACAAGTATCCCGTGTACACACCAAGTCACCTGTGTACACAACAAGCCACATGTGTACACATCAAGCAACCTGGGTACACACCAAGCCACCTGGGTACACAGCAAGTCTCCCGTGTACACAGCAAGTCATCTGTGTACACAAGTCACCTGTGTACATACCAAGTCACTTGGCAACACATCATGCCACCTGGTTACACAACAAGCCACAACGGTACACACCAAGTCACCTGGGTACACAACAAGCCACCGAGGTACACATCAGGTCACCTGGGTTCACACCAAGCAAACTTTGTACACACCAAGCCACCTGTGAACACACCAGGTCACCTGTGTACCCACCAACTCACATGTGTTCACACCAAGTCACCTGGGTACACAGCAAGCCACCTGTGAAGTGTGTACACACCAGGTCACCAGTGTACACACCAAGTCACATGTGTTCACACCAAGTCACCTGGGTACACAGCAAGCCACCTGTGAACACACCAGGTCACATGGCTACACAACAGGTCACCTGTGTACACAAGAATCCACCTGGGTACACACCAAGCTACCCGTGTACACAGAACCATATGGGTACACATAAAGTCACCTGTGTACATACCAATCCACCTGTGTACACAACAACCCACCTGGGTACATACCAATCCACCTGGGTACACAAGAAGCCACCTGGGTACACAACAAGTCATCTGGTTACACAACAAGCCACATGGGTACACAAAAAGTCACCTGTATATATAACAAGTCACCTGGTTACACAACAAGCCACCTGTGTAATACCAAGCCACCTGTGTACACAACAATCCACCTGGGTACATACCAAGCCACCTGGGTACGCTCCAGCACACCTGGGTACTCAACAAGTCACATGTGTACACAACAAGCCACCTGTGTAGTGTGTACACACCAAGTCATCCGTGTACAAACCAAGTCACATGTGTACACAACAAGCCACCTGTGTACACAACAAGCCACCTGAGTACACAACAAGTCACCTGGTTACACAACAAGCCACCTGAGTACACAACGAGTCACCTTGTTACACAACAAGCCACCTGGGTACATAAAAAGTCACCTGTGCACTGTGTACACACCAAGTCGCCTGTGTACACACCAAGTCACCTGTGTACATACCAAGCCACCTGGGTACACACCAAGTCACCCGTGTACATACCAAGCCACCTGTGTACATGCAAAGCCACCTGGGTACACCAGAAGCCACTTGTGTACACAACAAGCCACCTGTGTACACAACAAGCCACCTGGGTACACAACAAGCCACCTGGGTACAGAACAAGCCATCTGGGTACACAACAAGTCACCTGTGTACTGTGTACACACCAAGTCACCTGTGTACACAACAAGCCACCTGTGTAGTGTGTACACAACAAGCCACCTGTGTAGTGTGCACACACCAGGTCTCCCGTGTACATACCAAGTTACCTGTGTACACTTCAAGCCACCTGTGTCTCTACAAAGTCACCTGTGTAGACACCAAGTCACCAGGGTAAACAACAAGTCACCTCTGTACACAACAAGTCACCTGTGTACACACCAAGTCACCAGGGCACATAACAAGTCACCTGGGTACACAACAAGTATCCCGTGTACACACCAAGTCACCTGTGCACACAACAAGTCACCTCTGTACACACCAAGTCACCTGTGTACACACCAAGTCACCTGTGTTCACACCAAGTCAACTGGGTACACACCAAGCCACCTCTGAACACACCAGGTCACCTGTGTACACACCAAGTCACCTGTGTACACACCAAGTCACCTGGCACACATGAAGCCACCTGTGAACACACCATGTCACCTGTGTTCACACCAAGTCAACTGAGTACACACCAAGTCACCTGGCACACATCAAGCCACCTGGGCACACAACAAGTCACCTGTGTACACAACAAGTCACCCGTGTACACACCAAGTCACCTGTGTACACAACAAGCCACCTGGGTACACAACAAGTCACCCGGGCACACAAGAAGTCACCTGGGCACACAACAAGCCACCTGGGCACACAAGAAGTCACCCGTGTACACACCAAGTCACCTGTGTACACAACAAGTCACCTGTGTACACACCAAGTCACCTGTGTACACAACAAGTCACCTGTGTACACAACAAGTCACCCGTGTACACACCAAGTCACCTGTGTACACAACAAGTCACCCGTGTACACACCAAGTCACCTGGGTAAACAACAAGTCACCTTTGTAAACAACAAGTTACCTCGGCACATAACAAGTCACCTGGGTACATACCAAGTCACCTGTGTACACAACAGGTCACCTGGGCACATAACAATTCACCTGGGCACATCACAAGTAACCTGTGTACATATCAAGCCACTTGGGTACGCAACAAGCCACATGTGTACACATCAAGCCACCCGGGTACACAACAAGCCACTGTGTGCACAACAAGCCACATGTGTACACAACAAGCCACCTGGGTACACACCAAGCCACCTGTGTACACAACAAGCCACCTGGGTACACACCAAGCCAGCTGTATGTAGCAGGGCAAAGTGATGAGAGTAACAATACATATATACATGTCATCATCACCCACACACTATCTGTGTCATGTTATTGTTGAGCTACCTACTGTGACACGTCGGAATGGAGCTGTCATTGCCAACCCACGTGGAGGCCGGGATGAAGCTGTCGCGCCTCTCACACGTGATGTACGGGTTCCCCAGCACCAGGCTGTGTGGACAGTTGGCTCTGCATGACGAACCCACGGTGTAGTTGCTGGAATAGCAGTTGAAGACGGGGTCGTAGTCGCCACCACTTGACACGGCGGGCCTGGTACAGGGCGGAACTGAAACAGACAGAAAAGAAAAGTCAGCGACATGGATGCTACTTAAACACTTCATGGGTTAAAACAGAGAGTATTTCGCGTCTAGATACTAGATATATATATATATATATATATATACATATTTTGCATTGCAGGAGGACTAATATAAATGTCCTGCCATTTGAAGAGGCATGTGCTTGTTCTCGTGTGAGTATCTGCGTTTGAGACAATGTTCAGTTACATAAAGGCAGCTCAAATACAACCAATATTAAACATAAATGCAAAAATATTCAAGACGAAACCCCAAATTTTATATTTGTTTTCATGACCCTCAACCTGTCAACCCTGAACCAGAAATTTGAATTTCTAGAAGGCAATTTTATGTACACATGATATTATACCAATAGTATAACGATAGTGGGACAATATCATACAGCGATAATTATGATCACAGTTGACATTCCAACAAATAATGCCCTTTAATACTGTTTTACACTCGAAAGTACAGACAGTTTACATGTGTCTTACAAAACTTTAATGGTACATGTAACACATGACCTTATTGAAACTAAAGACAACAAACTAAAGTGCCGTCGCCTCAAGCGTCCAAAGCAAATGATGATTATATTCTGTAAGTAAACACCAACATATATGAGTAAGTGAGTTTGGTTTAACGCCGCTTTTAACAGTATTCCAGTTATATCACGATGTGTCAGCTTAATGTGGGAGAAAAGCCCGAAGTGATACAGGTCTCAGACGTTTACCACTTCGGTGAAACCCACGAGCATAGGTATGGTGCTGATAAACCCAGAAACATAATCGGGCGAACCGGGACTCGAACCCACAATCATAGGTTTCTTGCGTGCCCAAGGGACGCTACTCTGCACAGCGAATCTCGGCGCCTTAGACGACTGGGACACCCGTGTTCCCTATTATTTTAGAAGCGTATGGAGGAAGTAACGACTCTCACCTTCATAATTGACTACAAAAGCGCATTGCGGGGCGATGTTTCCTGATGCATCATCAGCGCGGTATTGGATAAGCTGGGATCCTTCAGTCAACTCTGTTCCTGAACGTGGACCTTTTGTCTGAGTCAGATTGACTATGCCAGAGTTATCTGTTGCCCAAACTGTCGGCCATGTGTAAGTAGTGTCGGTCGTTCTCAACACTTGTTCTGGGCACTTGAAGATCTTTGGTTTTTCGATATCTGAGTTAAATGTATTCATCTGTTATTCAACTTTTATACCTCGTGTTGAAATATATAGCTCAAAACCTCATTTGCTGCAGCTGTTTGTCTTTGTGCAATGATGTTTTAAATCAGAATTACAAGAATCATTTTCAGGAAAGTATCGAACGTGTAATCCTAGACACGATACATTGTCCATACAGTATTGATTCCACAAATAGAACATGGAAAGCGGATATTGAAAAGGTTTCGATATCTGAGTGAAATGTATTCATCGGTTATTCAACTTTTGTACCTCGTGTTGAAATATATAGCTCAAAACCTCATTTGCTGCAGCTGTTTGTCTTTGTGCAATGATGTTTTAAGTCAGAATTACAAGAATCATTTTCAGGAAAGTATCGCACGCGTAATCCTAGACACGATACATTGTCCATACAGTATTGATTCCACAAATAGAACATGGAAAGCGTATATTGAAAAGGTTTCGATATCTGAGTGAAATGTATTCATCGGTTATTCAACTTTTATACCTCGTGTTGAAATATATAGCTCAAAACCTCATTTGCTGCAGCTGTTTGTCTTTGTGCAATGATGTTTTAAGTCAGAATTACAAGAATCATTTTCAGGAAAGTATCGCACGCGTAATCCTAGACACGATACATTGTCCATACAGTATTGATTCCACAAATAGAACATGGAAAGCGTATATTGAAAAGGTTTGACGCCCAATCCCATCGCAACAATCTGCAGGGAGTAGGCGAATATTATTTTAGGCCACAGTCAGCAATATCACAGCGACATGCCTATTATAAGTCCATTAGTCAAATCTGGACCAGAAAAATCGGTTGTTGATAGCAAGCAGTCTTGATTGGGCAGCTTGGGTAAGATCTAATCGGTTCTTTCAACCTGCTTGATGTACTGGAGTATCACACTTTGAACAACAACGGGCACACAAAAGGGGACTTGGGAACCTGTTCTGCCCTGGAATTTCAACAGGGAGACAATCAAACATCAAAATAATCTGCCCTGGACTTCCTATGTGAAACAAGCATGATCTTTTCTCTACGGGAAGACATGGCCCCATGGCGATTATGACTCCGGGCGCCAGGGTATTGCCTGCCAAATATATCCTGGAATTCACAGAAAGCGACACTAGAGAAGGGGTACCGGCGACCCTTCGCCCTGGAATCACTACTGAGAACCTGTTCTGCTAAGGTCATACTGGGTTCACACAAAGGAGAACCCGTGTACATTTGTCCTTTTAGGAGATAATTAGACGCTTCAGCTTCAATAATAAAAAATATAAATCTCAATCATTATTACCAGCACATTGCCAGCGGTTATAATTCCATGTTCCGTTTCCAAGGCAGGAAATGTAGCTTCCATGGCGTGCCCAGTATCCTTTTGTCCAATCACAGTTCAGAATGCACTTGCTTTCATAGTACTGACCATTGGTGCAGTTGATGCTGATGCCTTTGGGTGGAATGGTCGGAGCGCCACAGGAATTTCCTGGAAATAGGAAACCTTATATATTCTCTACTTTTGAGATGAAAAAAGACTAATTTATAAAGAAATACTGAATATATCGCTCTCTGTCTCTCCAATACACCCAGTAGATAATCTCTATCACACACACACGCACGCACGCACGCACGCACGCACGTACGCACGCACGCACGCACACACACACACACCCAAAACATAGTCCTTTATCCCTATCCCACGAGCTCAGTACAACACACGAGTGAGTGAGTGAGTGAGTATGGTTTTACGCCGCTTTTAGCAATATTCCAGTAATATCACGACGGGGGACACCAGAAATGGGCTTCACACATTGTACCTATGTCGGGAATAGAACCCGGGTCTTCGGCGTGACGAGCGAACGCTTTAACCACTAGGCTTCCCGACCGCCCCTACAACACACGAAATCTCTCCTACGTGCACACATGCATAATATACCTACTCTCCCGCACACACTGTGCATATCTATCTATCCTTTTCATACACTCCCCCTCTGCCCCTCTCTCTCTCTCTCTCCCTCTCCCTCCCTCTCTCTCTCTCTCTCTCTCTCTCTCTCTCTCTCTCTCTCTCTCTCTCTCTCTCTCTCTCCTCTCTCTCGCTCAATACATCAAGTCTTCTCAAACCGAGTGCACCCAGTATACATTCGCCGCCAGCACATATGTACGGAACACAACAGTGACAACACTTACTTATAATCATCACTTACTTGTGCATGAAGGAACGCTGGATAACCAGAGTCCGTAATTTCCACACGATGATGTGGGGCTTCCGGACATATGGTAACCGTGATAGCAGGAATACGAACAAAGGGTGCCATGTCGTCTGTCATTATGGTCGCAATGTTGATATCCATAGCTGGGGCTACTGCGGTACTTGCATGTTTTCACTGTGAAAAGAAAGTTAATAAAATATCGCGAAGAGATGATTGGATGGCATCACAGGTATTCAAGTGAGCGAAGAAGGAGTGTACGTATGCTCATGTACGTGATCCTGCTCATGTAACTCCCTACCAACTCCACTGAACAGATCGTCATGTCTCTCTCCCTCCTACCAGAGTACAACCCGCATCTCTACTCATTACTTCCACCTTACTGCTACATCAGTCTCAACACCGCATCACTCCTTCCTCACCCAGCTCAACATGTTCTAGATTACGACTACAACGATTACAACACATCACTCCTAACTTACAACTGTCCATAACTATACAACTCAATCCCACCTTATTGCTACATCAAACACAACACATCATTCCTACCAAATTAGTACCTCCCAACACCACATCAATCCTACCTTACTTCTCCCCACCATCCCAACACCACATCACTCCTACCTTACCTCTACCCCCATCCCAACACCACAGCACTCCTACCTTACTTCTACCCCATCCCAACACCACAGAACTCCTACCTTACTTCTACCCCCATTTTAACACCACATCACTCCTAAATTACTTCTTCTCCATTCCAACAGCACATCACTTATACCTTACTTCTACCTTCATCCCAACACCACAGCACTCCTACCTTACTTTTCTCCCCATCCCAACACCACAGCACTCCTACCTTACTTCTACCCCCATCCCAACACCACATCACTCCAGCCTTACTTCTCCCCCAATCCCAACACCACATCACTCCTTCCTTACTTCTACCTCCATCCCAACAGCACATCACTCCTACCTTACTTCTACCTCCATCCCAACACCAAAACACTCCTATCTTACTTCTACCCCTCTTCAAACACCACAGAACTCCTACCTTACTTCAACCCCTATCCCAACATCACATTTCTCCTACCTTACTTCCACCCCCTTCCCAACAGCACATCACTCCTACCTTACTTATACCTCCATCCCAACACCAAAACACTCCTACCTTACTTCTACCCCATCCCAACAGCACATCACTCCTATCTTACTTCTACCCCCATCCCAACATCACATTTCTCCTACCTTACTTCCACCCCCTTCCCAACAGCATATCACTCCTACCTTACTTCCAACCCCATCCCAACACCACAGCACTCAAACCTTACTTCTACCTCCATCCCAACACCAAAACACTCCTACCTTACTTCTACCCCAATCCCAAAACCACAGCACTCCTACCTTACTTCTACCTCCATCCCAACAGCACATCACTCCTCCCTTACTTCTACCTCCATCCCAACACAACATCACTCCTATCTTACTTCTACCCCTATCCCAACACCACAGATCTCCTACATTACTTCAACCCCCATCCCAACATCCCATTTCTCCTACCCTACTTCCACCCCCTTCCAAACAGCACATCACTCCTACCTTACTTCTACCTCCATCCCAACACCAAAACACTCCTACCCAACTTCTACCCCCATTCCAACATCAAAACACTCCTACCTTACTTCTACTCCGATCCCAACACCACATCTCTCCTACCTTACTTCTACACCCATCCCAACACCACAGCACTCCTACCTAACTTCTACCTCCATCCCGACACCAAGCACTCCTACCTTACTTCTACCTCCATCCCAACATCACATTTCTCCTACCCTACTTCCAACCCTTCCCAACAGCACATCACTCAAACCTTACTTCTATCTCCATCCCAACGACAAAACCTTCCTACCTTACTTCTCCCCCAATCCCAACAGCACATCACTCTAACCTTACTTCTACCTCAATCCCAACACCACATCACTTCTACCTTACTTCTACCCCTATCCCAACACCACAGAACTCCTACCTTACTTCTACCTTCACCCCAACACCAAAACACTCCAACATTACTTCTACCCCCATCCCAACACCACAGCACTCCTACCTTACTTCTACCTCCATCCCAACAGCACATCACTCCTAAATTACTTCAGCCCCCATCCCAACATCCCATTTCTCGTACCTTACTTCCACCCCCTTCCAAACAGCACATCACTTCTACCTTACTTCTACCTCCATCCCAACACCAAAACACTCCTACCCAACTTCTACCCCCATTCCAACACCAAAACACTCCTACCTTACTTCTACCCCGATCCCGACACCACATCTCTCCTACCTTACTTCTACACCCATCCCAAAACCACAGCACTCCTACCTTACTTCTACCTCCATCCCAACATCACATTTCTCCTACCCTACTTCCAACCCTTCCCAACAGCACATCACTCAAACCTTACTTCTATCTCCATCCCAACGACAAAACCCTCCTACCTTACTTCTCCCCCAATCCCAACAGCACATCACTCCTACCTTACTTTTACCCCAATTCCAACACCACATCACACCTACCTTACTTCTACCCCTATCCCAACAGCACATCACTCAAACCTTACTTCTACCTCAATCCCAACACCACATCACTCCTACCTTACTTCTACCCCTATCCCAACACCAAAACACTCCTACATTACTTCTACCCCATTCCCAACACCACAGCACTCCTACCTTACTTCTCCCTCCATCCCAACAGCACACCACTCCTAAAGTACTTCTACCTCCATCCCAACACCTCATCACTCCTATCTTACTTCTACCCCTACCCTAACACCACAGAACTCCTACCTTACTTCTACCCCCATCCCAACATCACATTTCTCCTACCTTACTTCCGCCCTTTCCCAACAGCACATCACTCCTACCTTACTTCTACCTCCATCCCAACACCAAAACTCTCCTACCTTACTTCTACCCCATCCCAACAGCACATCACTCCTACCTTACTTCTACCCCCATCCCAACATCACATTTCTCCTACCTTACTTCTACCCCCATCCCAACATCACATTTCTCCTACCTTACTTCCACCCCCTTCCCAACAGCATATCACTCCTACCTTACTTCCAACCCCATCTCAACAGCACAGAACTCTTACCTTACTTCTACCCCCATCTTAACAGCACATCACTCCTACCTTACCTTTCTCCCCATCCCAACACCACAGCACTCCTACCTTACTTTTACTCCCATCCCATCATCACATCACTCCTACCTTACTTTTCTCCCCATCCCAACATCACATCACTTCTACCTTACTTCTACCTCCATCCCAACAGCACATCACTCCTACCTTACCTCTACCTCCATCCCAACACCACATTCCTCCTACCTTACTGCCACCCCCTTCCAAACAGCACATCACTCAAACCTTACTTCTACCTCCATACCAACACCAAAACACTCCTACCGTACTTCTGCCCCCATCTCAACACCACATCTCTCCTACCTTCCTTCTACCTCCATCCCAACACCAAAACACTCCTACCTTACTTCCACCCTCTTCCCAACAGCACATCACTGCCACCTTACTTCTATCTCCATCCCAACACCACATCACTCCTACCTTACTTCTACCTCCATCCCATCACCAAAACACTCCTACCTTACTTCTACCACCGTCCCAACATTACATTTCTCCTACCTTACTTCCACCTCCTTCCCAAAACCACATCTCTCCTACCGTACTTCTACCTCCATCCCAAAAGCACATCACTCCTACCTTACATCTACCCCCATCCCAACACCACATCACTCCCACCTTACTTCTACCTCCATCCCAACACCGGATCACTCCTACCTTACTTCTACCTCCATCCCATTACCAAAACACTCCTACCTTACTTCTACCTCCATCCCCAAAGCACATCACTCCTATCTTACTTCTACCCCTACCCCAACACCACATCACTCCCACCTTACTTCTACCTCCATCCCAACACCAGATCACTCCTACCTTACTTCTACCTCCATCCCATCACCAAAACACTCCTACCTTACTTCTACCTCCATCCCAACACCACATTCCTCCTACCTTACTTCCATCCCCCTACCAAACATCACATCACTCCTACCTTACTTCTACCTCCATACCAACACCAAAACACTCCTACCTTACTTCTACCCCATCCCAACAGCACATCACTCCTACCTTACTTCTACCCCCATTCCAACACCAAAACACTCCTACCGTACTTCTGCCCCCATCTCAACACCACATCTCTCCTACCTTCCTTCTACCTCCATCCCAACACCAAAACACTCCTACCTTACTTCTACCTCCATCCCAACACCAGATCACTCCTACCTTACTTCTACCTCCATCCCATCACCAAAACACTCCTACCTTACTTCTACCACCGTCCCAACAGCACATCACTCCTACCTTACTTCTACCTCCATCCCAAAAGCACATCACTCCTACCTTACTTCTACCTCAATCCCAACACACCGCTACTCCTACCTTCCACCCACCCCACCCCCCCACCCACCCCCCCACCAATCCCATCACCCAACTACTCTTACCTTACTTCTACCCCCATCCCAACACATGAACCCTAATAACAACATTCTTACCGTAGTACTAACCCCATCTCAACACCACATCACTCCTACCGTAGTACTAACCCCTTCCAACACCACCTCACTCCAACCGTAGTACTAAACCCATCTCATCACTACATCACTCCTGCCCTACATATACCCCGATATTAACACCACATCATGTCTACCTTACTCCTACCCCATCGCAACACCACAAAACACCTACCATACTTCTACCCTCATTCCAACACCACATCATGTCTAGCTTACTGCTACCCAAAGGGAGAATGGAACTGACCAATGATAGTGATGTAGAAGCTGCACGTGTCGGTAAGTCCTCCGGTGTCTGTCACCTTGTAGGTTATCCTGTGACGTCCGGCGCGAAAATAGCTGTAGGGTCCTTGGCCATAAATCCGGTTAACCCTGTAACAAATTACGGTTTTAGTTTAACTGATTTTAACAGTTTATGGCTGTGTTGTAGTAGCTGATTATATATAATGTTCATTTTCATGAATCGTGTGTTGCGGACTATTCAAATACAGGAAGTTTTGTCAATGGATATTCTTTAATGCTGAATGTCAATGGGTGAAAGAAGAAGCGGATGTGTACGATTGCAGACAAGTTTATGATTAAAAGATAATAAATGCTGATGAAACGCATAAAAAACTATCGAATATCGCGAGCAATATTACCATGGTGGTGTTATTTAGTGAGTGAGTGAGTACGGTTTTACGCCGCTTTTAGCAATATTCCAGCAATATCACGGCGGGGGACACCAGAAATGGGCGTCACACATTGTACCCATGTCGGGAATCGAACGCGGGTCTTTAGGCGTGACGAGCGAACGCTTTAACCACTAGGCTACCCGACCGCCCTGGTGTTATTTAGAAGCTGGTATGATAGGTTAACGGGCTTCAGGTTTTATTGATTAGGCCTTTGGTCGTGGGTACAGGAACCCTTGTTAATCCGGACAATACTGCTCCCAATATCTATTGACATGATTACAATTTCAAATTAACGAATCATTGCTGCTATTGAATGTCCTTTGTATATGTATAGTTCCAAAAGGAATCATCCGGAAATCGTGGTTCTGGGATAAGAGGTGTTTGAACTGACGGGGCTTCACCATTCATTACACACACTCACGTGTATCCAGTCCGGTCATCGGAAACACTGGGAGTAGGCCAGTAGACGTACACTGAAGAATCATCATACGCGGCTGTGAAGGTAGCGCTTTTGTAGTCGCAACTGATCCTTGGGCGTCTATTTGCTACAATATAGAGAGTATTTTACGTTACATATTTATGGAATACTGTAAGGGACATTCACGCCATCCCGCGATCACACGATTTCGACCTTTGGAAACCAGCGAGTATGCTATATCACGAGATTCTGGCAAAAGGTCGTGATCGCGGAAAAGTTCCTTTAAAAGTGCATCATATATATTTATGGATTTATTCCAACATCAAGAAGGTATTGCTATTTATTACAGTGGGAAAGGAGGCAGAACACTATGAGCTCTACAACGCTACATCTGCTACTCCACCCGCCTATTGACTGTCACTTCGTGCGTTCGAATATTATACATTGAGTGATCTGAGTCAACTGAGGTTACTAAGTTTCTACAAACGGGGTTGACTAGATCCAACCTGTGCTGACCATGTTAAACAAGGATAATTTAGGGCAGTACTAGAAATAATACGCATAAATACAACCTTAAGTTAGAAATAAAACAAAATTGCTGCCAGGAGAAGGAAAAATACAGCCATGTGTATTGCTATAACACACAACTATGAAAGGTTTTATTGCATGACAATGCTGCCATTGTACTATTATATTTAATGCATGTAAAACGACACTTAAATTCAAAAAAACGTATAACACATCAAACGAGATATATATCAACAATCGAAAGTAAAATTTCCATGACGCATATCAGAATACACATATAATCAATATCTGGTTAATTGTTTTCAGCTAAATGCTTTTATTTAAGATTGAAACTATCAAGCTTCACCGATGACGTCACTCGGTGGCTTCTAACAAGAGTACAGCACCCAGGGGTTTAGTAGGTACAGGCAACTTAGGTCAACCGAAATATGACGTAAATCAGTGAACATGAGCTGACAGTGGTCATCCTTGGGTTGGACCATGGTCAACACGGGTTCACTTGGTTCGTTCGGTTTTTTCAAATCAAACACAAGCACAGTCACTAATGTTTCGCCAGGCGGGATAAAGGCGGAATAAAGGCTAAGTACATGTCACTGCAGCTTTTTGTCGAGTTTGAATTTCAGTCACTTATGGACACAACTGAAGGGCAAGGCCTACCTCGATATCGATAACTCCTGGTGTACCTCACAGATCTGCTCCTGTTGCAGCTGTGGGCAAGCGTGGCTAGTAGCATGGCCAAAAGCACCCCAAACAGGACGCCGGACCACCTCATTCCGTGAGTATAGCGTCTGAAACAATAGCTACATTTTTAGTTAAAACCAAAATACTTTGAAATTCCATAATCATAAGAAATCTCTTCTAAAAACAGAGTCCATTGTATGTTTTCGTGATGGAGAAACCATGACAATTTGTCGATTCCGGAAGTAGAATAGAATTATAACTTAGGAATCAGATTTGAGTGATTTCCCTGATCATGTTATGGTTCGTGTATAATTTCTTTACAATTTTGAATTATGACCTATGTATGGAGTGTCCTCTGTTATACGTGTTGAAAAGGGCCAGTGAGATCCTGGTTCACAATCTACGGAAGAACATTCGCGTTACGTCAGCATAATGGTTTTAATCATGAGCGTGTGTTTATGTATGGTGGCCGAGAGGGGACATCGCTTTCTCGCTCTATCGCTTTCTCGCTTTATCGCTTTCTCGCTTTCTCGCTCTATCGCTTTATCGCTTTATCGCTTTCTCGCTTTCTCGCGGTTAAGCAGTATCCCCTCTTGACCACTACAGGGGCCGCATGTGATATCTGCTGCGATTGGGAGGTAGTGTTGAACTTTTCTCACTATTTACTTAAAACATAATTTAACTGTACAGACGTAGGTAATTTTAAAACAATCCACCGATTTTTGCGTAAAATGTAATTGATTTATTTATGGCCCTATTCAGTTGTATGTGACCATCACGCCGAAAGCGCGTGGCAAATCATGGCAATACGCTCTAAATAAATCAGGTTAAAATCTCAATATATACTTTTCAAAAGAAGTTAAGAAGACTATGGTTAATTAGTCATGGCTGATTGTTTTGCAAAAATACAATCTTAAATTGTGGGTGTTCTATAACTTGTTTTCGGTAGGATATGATGTTACAGTGTGTCATAAGGCTGTCCGTAAATGTTCTTTTTGACATTTGATGTATGTTTAACTTAAATTGTGTTTCTTGTCTTGTGCAAATCTACAAATATATGCACTTGCATATAGTAATTTGATAAACACCGCTGTGAGTGAGTGAGAATGGTTTCACGTCGCTTTTAACAATAATCCAGTTATATCACGGGTAACACCAGAAATGGGCTTCACACATTGTACCTATGTGGGGAATCGAACTGGGTCTTCGGCTTGACGATCGAACGCTTTAACCACTAGGCTATCCCACTGCCCCCATCGCTGTGGCGTCACCACAGTTGATATGTGTACTGGTGTAAACTACACATATGGAGAGACATAATTAGTGTGGCCACATAGTTAAGGTTGATAACAATATGAAATGCATTACTATGATTATCTATAACATATATTAAATCAGCTATCATTGTGTACTATGAACAAAATGAAAATATGAACAGTGACTATCTGTATTCTTTGAATCTTGCTTATTTATTACACTACAAGAAAATATGCAAGCTAAACGACATATTTATCTACTACATGATGTTTGAAAAATATAATCATAAGAGGCAAAATAGCGGTGAGAATTACAGGATCACTAAATATCAGCAAAAACCGTTTTAATGTACGGCATTATGGGAAATATCGCTTTCTCGCTCTATCGCTTTATCGCTCTATCGCTTTCTCGCTTTCTCGCTCTATCGCTTTATCGCTCTATCGCTTTATCGCTCTATCGCTTTATCGCTTTATCGCTTTCTCGCTCTATCGCTTTCTCGCGGTATAGCAATATTCCCTCTTGTGGGTTTTAATCATAAACGGAATGTTGAAATTTTCTCACTATCTACTGAAATATAATTTAACAGTACAGACATATGTGCTTATATAACAATCCACTTATGTCTGCGAAAAAAAAGAATTTGATTGATTTATGACCCTATTTAGCTATTGGATCCCCCGCCCCCAGGCCAAGTTATCAAAACAAATAGCAAATAACACCGCTCAATAGCGCTGAGTAGTACGTATTTCCTAAAAAGCAATAGTGTTTTCCTAAAAACAACGCTTATATCAACGTTTATTCTGTTTGCGGAGTAGATGTCATCAAAGTGGAAGTCCTCACCCAAGCAATGGTTAATACTACCGGATGTCCTTTATGTAATTTCTAGTTTTGGGATGACATATTGTTCTCAGTAACCGTAATGTGGAAATAGATGGTTGATTGGTTTTATATTCAAGTTGGTATTTCCGCTATTCAAAGTGTTCAGTGAGGCCGTCTTATCAACAGTCATTTCTGAGACATAAATGCAAAGTATAATCAACCTTATTCGAAAGTAATAAGCGCCCCGCTCTAATCAACGCCCACGGCGATATTTGCTAAAATATTGGCTATTGAACAATCCCAAATAGCACCCTTGCGATTGATTAATGTACACCAGACTTATTTATTCGCGTATAATACGCACTCGTGCGTTTTATGCACACTTAATTATGGGCAATTAAATTCGGGAAAAATATATCTGTCGTACATAAACATTTCAGGCTGTCAGCATAAACCACGAAATTTATCTTTCAACTCAACTCTTTTTTTTCGCCAAAATATTATTCTTGAGAGCGCCCTGGGCACTTATTACGTCGAATACGATTATTATGTCTACGCTAATTTTTTTGCATCAATAATTAACGTTAATTTCAAGATTTCAAGAACACACGATTCCTTCATATGACTATGGTTAGTCATTAGAAGAAGCAATAGGGCGAGAAAGCGATAGAGCGATAAAGCGAGAAAGCGATAGAGCGATAAAGCGAGAAAGCGATAGAGCGATAGAGCGAGAAAGCGATAGAGCGAGAAAGCGATAAAGCGAGAAAGCGAGAAAGCGATAGAGCGATAAAGCGATAAAGCGATAAAGCGATAAAGCGATAGAGCGAGAAAGCGATAAAGCGAGAAAGCGATGTTCCCTCTCGGCCACCATATTTATGAGTTGCTGTCAAATAGTTTTCGCGAAAAGGTGAGCATATCCTGCCCTGTGATAATCACATGCAAAGGCAAGTTCATTGTGAAACATTGTTTTTTGCCAATAATAATCTATAGTGCAATAATATTTTAATATATAAATCCCAAGACCAAGATAACTTTGTATACACTACTGCTTCTCAAAGGCACTCCCCATGACTTTAGTTCAGCTTATGTGGTCTATTTTACACATACAGGTACTGCTGCAAACCTGATTTCCTTTGTATGCAATCACATTATCACAACTTCCTCAGCTGGTGTGTTAAAGTTCCCCTGTCATCATGAAACAAGAATTATAAAGGAAAGCCATATTTACAATTAAACACATATCTGTCTTTCCTTTGAATACTCTTTCTCTAAGTGCCAGAAATTGTCAGTGTCATAAAAAAAATTAAAAAAAGGTTTTCATAAGGACTTTCCTCAGATAAGCCTAAGTCAAACCATGTGACAAGTTAGGTAGACTTATAACTTTAAAAGCCCTCATTTTTGAGGTGTCCATACTTTTCACATTTTGTATATATTTTTAGGACAAAATGTGAGCCGTGTAGTTCTGACTGTTATGTTACGTAAAACAAATTCTTGTCTTAAAATGAGAAAAGGAATCATTCAGACAAAAGGTTTTTTTTATCCCATTGTTTCCCGAAAACCAGTTGAAATGCACATTAGATCTAGAGACTTTTGTACCCAAAATTTCTAGTGATTTGGTACCCAAATGGGTATGTGATTTTGTAGATCTACCTATAACTTTTTTAAAGATATACATGAATTTTGGTGTCTTAAACTTAACATACTATCAAAACAATACATTCTAACTTAGGTTTAACCAACTTAGTTGGCCTCTTCTTCAGTGACAAGATGTCAATTTTCTATCAAAACTAAACAATCAATTTCAAGGATCACAGTCATAATCATATATTATAAACTTGATGAAATATTGTATTGTGTGTTCCGTTCATCTACATGAAAACATACACGTAAATATAATTATAGATCTATTGTCTTATTTTCTTAGGTACAAATTCACAAAGTATTTTGGGCACAATTTAATTTGTTTTGGGTACAAAATCACATATATAGGAGCCTATATATATTTACACTACCTCCATACAGTCGTCGTGTACCAAAATTTTAATCGGTTCAGAGGACGGGGAGGGGGGGTCCCAGAAAGTTTTCAACAACATCTTTAATACTCTAAATTGTTCTTTTTGTAATGTTAGACCAAAAACAATATTATGTTGTTGTTATTATTATGGCATATCAATACATTATATCGCTCTCGGTTGCGTTCGTTTTCAGAAAATAATTTTAAATTAAATTCATCGAGCGTGAAATCCATTACGGTTTCGGATTTAGACTGACACATTTGATGGCGATAATCACGAAGAAATATGAAACAAATATGAGTGAAGACTGCTCTCCAGATCAATAAATAGTAAATAGTTCACGAAAAATAGTAAATTGTGTATTTTCTTTTGATTTGAATCTATTTCGGAATTTCTTTATGATAGCTTACCAACTTTTGCATATTTTGCTTCCATGCGTCACATGCGGTACGTGCTTCCGGTTTCAGAAATGATAGCTAAAATTGCAAGTATTTTGATTATTTCTCGTAATCTGCACTATTGTACATGTGCTATTGAATGGTTTACCTAGAATGTACATCAGTTCAGATTTTGCCTATCATCCAATATTTGTCATTTTTCGCAGTGTTTGTTGACTTTGTTCAACTCAACAAATTGCGAGTGTCAAACGTGGCACTGACGTTTGTCGGCTTGTCAATGTGTCCGAAAGTTTATCAAACGAAATCATTTGCAAACTCTTTAAAAAAGATTTTCTTACAAAGATTTCTACATGCGTGTCAATAATTCTAGAAAATTAAGTTAGATATAACAAAGTGATTGTAATAGTCTAACGGGATAATTATGCATGTGGAGTTGTTTGTTGCCATGATCGCACAAGTTCCATCCAATCGATGATGTTACGATCCAGATTGTTTTTGTTACAATTAGTTACACCGAAGGTTGCTAATTTTTAGAAATTAAGGATCATGAGTGTTTTCCTTTCGTCAGCAAACAAAAAAATATGATCGAATAGAAAAAAATATGAAATTATAAAGAAAATATCGGACTGCATGCCGCTCACCGTGAAGTGCCAAAAGTCAACAATGGCCGTTTCTGGTAGTTGTGTGCCGCGAAGTTTGGCCGAAACGTTTTTAACTCGTGATATTTTCTTTTTGAGGTAAATAAACTACTGAAAGTTTTAATACTGAGCAAGCTGAGCACTTATGCATGTCATGCGTAATTTAAATGTTACGATAAGCCTTCTTGGTAAATAGATATGGCGAGTTTTTATTTTGGGGTGTCGTGATCCTATTCGCCTGTCGAATGGGTTCGACATCAGATGCACGGGAAGAGACACCTCTGTCGAATGGGTTCGACGTTAGCGTGCAGAGCTTTAATCATAACTTTGTATACGCTACTGCTACTTATAGGCACTCCATGCATGACTTCAACTGACACACACCACAAGTACATAAATCATAACTTTGTACACTCTCTTACTGCTTAGAGGCACTCTATGCATGACCTCAAAAGCCACATGCCACAAGTACATAAATAATAAGTTTGTGCACACTCTTACTGCTTAAAGGCACTACATGCATGACTTCAACTGACACACACCACAAGTACATAAATCATAACTTTGTACACTCTCTTACTGCTTAGAGGCACTCTATGCATGACCTCAAAAGCCACATGCCACAAGTACATAAATTATTAGTTTGTGCACACTCTTACTGCTTAAAGGCACTACATGCATGACTTCAAATGACACATGCCACAAGTACATAAATCATAACTTTGTACACTTTCTTACTGCTTAAAGGCACTCTTTGCATGACCTCAAATGACACATGCCACAAGTATATAAATAATAACCTTGTTCAGTCGCTTACTGCGTAAAGACACCTAATGCATGACTTTAAAAGACACCTGCCACAAGTACATAATTCATAACTTTGTATAGACCACTGCTTCTCAAAGGGACTCCATGGATGACTTGAAATGACACACGCCACAAGTACATAAATCATTACTTTGTGACACTCTTACTGCTTAAAGGCACTCAATGCATGACCTCAAATGCTACATGCCACAAGTACATAAATAATAACTTTGTGCACACTCTTACTGCTTAAAGGCACAACATGCATGACCTCAACTGACACATACCAGTGGAACATAAACATACCTTCTGAAAGACAGCTGCTGTTTACTTCCCTGTCTCCAAGCTTCTTGGTGAAGGACAGTTCGCTTCCTCCTACATATCCCATATATAGTGTCACTCGCGCGATGGGTTGTCTCATGGGAGGATCAGTACACTTGACATGATAGTGTATGACACCATTCAAACCATCCTCATTGGCTGCCAGCTCGCGTTGTGTGTTACTGACTGACACAAGTGTATCATTCGGATGATCACTCTCTCATACAAGCGCAAGCTCATATGTAGATAAGAAAAACACAGTGCATAATCTCTCAGTAGGGTGCCTCCTTTCATTATAGGCAAATGTTGGAGCAAAGTGGAAGAACCACTGCGATCGTTAGATTCATTCATTTATTGAAAATACACCTACAGTGGTATAAGAGTATACTATATAATTAGCATTAGATTTAATATAAATTATATGCATACATTGCTTGTTTAAATTAACATCAGGATGAAGGGTATTAGAACTCATTTATAAACATTTCAAGTTACATAAGTTTCACAATTGTTCAGTGCTGTTGATGGAAAATAGTCTTGCCAATTTATGATTGGGGAACTCATAATGATATTAAGGGATGTATAGAGATTTATGGAAAGAAAAGAATTCACATTTAAATAATTAATGGTTTTATCAGCTACTACAGGGGAAGTACATAGGTGGTATGTTCCATCTTCTCTTGCTATTTTATTCCATCTGTCGCTTTCTACCGGAAATCTATGATTACAAGTTCTAAAGTTTAATAGAGGAATGTATACGTTTTTGTTAAGGGTCTTTTCCGAAGGAAAGACCAGGTTTGATATACTTCTGTAAATTGTTTTTTTAAAATTATATATGATAGTGCATCGCAATTCATCTTAATATAGCCAAAGGGTACAATGTGTGAAGCCCATTTCTGGTGTCCTCCGCCGTGATATTGCTGGAATATCACTAAAGGCGGCGTAAATCCATACTCACTCACTCACTCACTAATGTAGCCAAGTAGGCTATTAAAGGGATTCCCTAATCTTGCACAATGGTTACAAATCATCGGAAGCATGATTGTACTCCGTGTGAAGGTAATGTAGTTATATAAACAGTTTAAAGCTACACATTTCCTAGATAACTACTCGTCTTCCGACTTTACAACTGCTGTTGTATCCAGAATATGTATCAGAATCCGTGGATGAATAGGTTCTCTGTACTCCTCGCTTTTCAATCAATCAATCAATCTTTATTCATGATACAAAGGAGGTCATGAGCCTACGTTTCATAACTATTGCATGTGGTAGATAGTATCCATTTTACTCGGGGTACATTCAAGTATAGACAGTAATCAAGATTGCAAAAATATTATCTTCAATGGAATGAAAACTGTACATAGCTAGATTCCCTAAAACTACCGCAGCTGGTTGACATTAATAAGTAAAATATATGAACACTGGAATAAAAAAACCAAAAGATTGATCATTGATACATTATTTCTTATATTAACATACAATGGAAAAACAAGTAAAATGTGATACTTATCTCCAGTATCATTGAAATCGCATAGCTTGCAAATCCGATTTTCTTTTAAAGTTCCACGGGGCACGGGTGGAGGAGGGAGATATATAAAGCATGGCGACCACATTCAGCCGCAGATTAAAGTCCTTACAACGAAACATGGTTGTTGCTTACCGTTGATGAAGAAAAGGGTCACTGGTTATACTGGCTTCAACCTTTATTGAGATTTGAACTGAGAATAGTAAATACATTCAGATAGAGTGTCGAGAAAGTGATGCCCAGTTTAGGAGAAGAAGAGGTTCTCTTCACGACAGACTTATTTAGATGAGATTAAACTTAATTCCAGTTTCTTTACAATTGTTTTCAAAACATTCAAAGCTGCAAGACAGTGTCAGATACAGATGACATCATCGGTGAATGATTAAAACGCATCAATAAAATATTTCAAGACAAGACATATAACAGCTCTTCCATATTCCTCTCCCAACATTGAAGTCAGCTGACTGATGACATCGCTGAAAATCTGGTGGTTTAAGTCTGAACGGATCCAATTATTAGCGATTATCAGTGCTCACGCATGCACACAGTGATGGGTTCATGATCAAGAAAAGGTGGAGGAATTTACCTTTACCAACACGTTTCGAAAGTCTCTTGAACAATGCTTCATGATTTATACAGTCAAATTATTTGAGAAGTCAGTAACAACATTCTGTCATAAATTTGGAAATTACTCGATTCTGATTGGTCAATCAGAGGCTATTACTTAAGAAATAAACAAGTGGGAGTTGTTTATTTACAATATGAGATATCAATATTATGTACTGCTTCTTAAAGGGTATTAATTAAAATGTACAAGCTTCAAAAATATGTTCCCGTCTTTACATAATGATGACTCCCTGAAAAGAAACCGACCTCGGACATGTCCGACAAGTCCATTTTATGAACAAACTTAACTTTGTTCTTTCCCCCATATCCTCACATTTTGCACGTCGATTATCTGTACCTCTTCTTCCAATACCGAGCGTCATATCTCTGCCGTTTTTGGATACTTATCTCCAGTATCACTGAAATCGCATAGCTTGCAAATCCGATTTTCTGTTAAAGTTCTACGGGGCACGGGTGAGTCTGTACTCTAAGGCGACGCGATTCGCTGTGCAGATTTGCGTCCCTTGGGCACGCCAGAAACCTATGATTGTGAGTTCGAATCCCAGTTCGACTCAATTATGTTTCTAGGTTTGTCTGCACCATACCCGTGCTCGTGGGTTTCACCGAAGTGGTAAACGTATGAGACCTGCATTACTTCGGGCTTTCCTCCCACATTAAGCTGACACGCCGCGATAAAACTGGAATACTGTTAAAAGCGGCGTTAAACCTAATTCACTCACTCACTCACTGTTTGTGTCATCGTACCACTGGCCGCCGTGATACATCTAGAAGGTCCAAACAGCGACACAAATCATAATTCGCACTATCTGCGATCTTATTTTCTCTCCATCCGATCTACTTTCTTACTCTCTCCTTATCCCTCCTTCTTATTCCCCCCATCCCCACCGAATCCCCCCACCCCCCGATCCTCCGTCAGTCCCAACATCACTTTTAACTCCCCGTTTATGCCTCTGTCCACGCGACCACAGTAGAATCGGAAACGCTACATGATCGCTCCTGTTCTACATCACATCAAGTTCCCGCTAGAGAGTCTCTTCTTCCAACACCGTCTCTTTGCTTCAAGTGGCCTGTCTGCCGCCACATAGGGAAGTGTTCCTCTAAGCTGAAACGTCCATGTATTACAAGAGTAGGTTGGTTTGTATTTCGGCAAACAGAGACCGAAGACCGATCTCTCTGACAAACGTTTATTTCCAAAAGCCTAATGTTCCACTTAACACGTTTTACACAAGGGTGAATATATCCTGTCATTTAACTCTGATAGCCAAAGGGGAAGCTATTTTCTTCCTGGTTTAGTTAACAATGAGTGCTGAATTTCCACACTGTGATGTCTCGTTATTCAGAACCATGTTACCCCATGAAAAAAGACGTTAAGAAGATATCAACACGAATGTGAAAGCTAGTAACGGCTTCGAGAGTTTTGCAGTCTGGTTTTCCCTGACGTAACCGCCAAGTTAACGTTGCATGTAAGAGAGCGTCTACGTTTATGGACTTGACGAGTAAATTGTTATAATTGAATTATTGTTTGTTTAGTCTGGGTTTGGCAGAACCATTTTTAGCCTTTTTAGATATTTTGTATTGATGATAAGTTTGTTAAATCATGTTAATTTAGATAATAAAATGGAGGAATATTTTATGGTGAGTTAAGGTGTCGGTTTATAGGATTGCACTATGTAAACTATGCTGTTCTAACCATATTAATTGAAGAAAGAGGACAACTTAAACTAAATCAGACAGACAGAAATTATTCTGTACTTTAAAACATAGGTCCATATTACAAGCATAATGAAGTTGTCGTTTACTGTACACGCTGAAGTATATCAATGATATTATATTATTTACAGCGAGTGTAGCTTGTTAGAGTTGATCACTTTGCAAAGGCCTCTAGCATGGCAGATCAAAAGCGTTTGTTATATAAAGCATGGCGACCACATTCAGCCGCAGATTAAAGACGATTAGTCCTTACAACGAAACATGGTTGTTGCTTACCGTTGATGAAGGAGAAGGACACTGGTTATAATGGTTTCAACCTTTTTTTGAGATTTGAACTGAGAATAGTAAATACATTCAGATAGAGTGCCGAGTTTTGAAGAAGAAGAGGTCTTCTTCACGACAAACTTATTTAGATGAGATTAAACTTAATTCCAGTTTCTTTACAATTGTTTTCAAAACATTAACTTTCTTTTAATGCTGCAAGACAGTGTCAGATACAGATGGCATCATCGGTGAATGATTAAGACGCATCAATAAAATATTTCAAGACAAGACATATAACAGCTCTTCCATATTCCTCTCCCAACATTGAAGTCAGCTGACTGATGACATCGCTGAAAATCTGGTGGTTTAAGTCTGAACGGATCCAATTATTAGCGATTATCAATGCTCACGCATGCACACAGTGATGGGTTCATGATCAAGAAAAGGTGGAGGAATTTACCTTTACCAACACGTTTCGAAAGTCTCTTGAACAATGCTTCATGATTTATACAGTCAAATTATTTGAGAAGTCAGTAACAACATTCTACCATAAATATGGAAATTACTCGATTCTGATTGGTCAATCAGAGGCTATTACTTAAGAAATAAACGAGTGGGAGTTGTTTATTTACAATATGAGATATCAATATTATGTACTGCCTCTTAAAGGGTATTAATTAAAATGTACAAGCTTCAAAAATATGTTCCCGTCTTTACATAATGATGACTCCCTGAATAGAATCCTCGGAAATGTCGGACAAGTTCATTTTATGAACAAACTTAACTTTGTTCTTTCCCCCATATCCTCACATTTTGCACGTCGTTTATCTGTACCTCTTCTTCCAATCCCGAGCGTCATATCTCTGCCGTTTTCGGATGCGATCGTTCGGCCATTGCGTTTAGCTACCTTGCCCAGCTGTAA